ATTATCTTTTCCTTTCTATTGGTAGGTGGCACAGTGCACTTGTGGCAAGTAAGCAAGCTAGAAGACTGGCAAAGTTATGGAAGAAACACATTAACAAGAGAATTCTGAGTAAAACCAAAGTTACTTTCCCTAGTAACTAGTTACTTTGAAAGTAACGAGTAACTTGAAGTAACTGAGTTACTTTTGAGAGAAGTAACTAGTAATGTAACTAAGTTACTATTTTAAAGTAACTTACCCAACACTGATGAAATCATGTACAAAGCTCAACACTGCGCCTAGCATCCTGGAGTACTTCCGTTGTGTTTTGTACGTGTTTTGGAGTTTGTAGGTGTTTTGTCTCTAGGAGTCACCGTAAATATACTTTTATTTATTCACTCCACATAAAATGTAATAAATAAATAATATAATACATAAACCAACTATTTACATTTCAACTTTTAACTAATTAAATTTTCAACTTTTTCTTTTAAACAATTGTAAAGGGAAACAACACAAAACACTGCAAACCACAACACAATTAAATATAAATTAAAATATGAAAACAAAAAGAACATGCATATTCTCTGTCATATGGACCTGCATGAATAAACTTTCTGAATCCTTTATCATCTGCAACTGAAAATAGTTGTGGATGATTACTATACCTTTCTAATGTGACGTTGTTGTCCCTGGCTCTCTTTCTCTGTCTCTCCCTCCGGCTGTGTTCCTGTGCTACTGTGAGTGTAACTACTGCCCCTCCCCCCCTTCCCTCGCGTGCAGAGTGAAGCGGAAAAAAGTGCGAGAGAGAGGGTGTCGTTCACTTCAAAGAGTCGGCTCTAAGAGCCGTTTCGTTCGCAACCGACACATCACTATTTGAAAAGACCAAAAATCATTATTTCCATACTGGGACAATATTAGGACATGGAGGGATTTCCATAAATTCTGGACTGTCACACACCCATAAAACATGTGCCATGTTGTTTCCAAAGTTGTTTTACAAATATAACAGTTGTCTGACACAAATTTAAATCTTTCTCTCATAAATTCATTGGAGGGGTGAATATTTTTTGTATTTTTAAAATTGACTTCTTTAAGTTTGGGGGGGATTGGAAATTTCAAATATTAATATCATCAACGAGATCTCAGATTTGTTATAATCTTTAAAGATGAGTGAGTGTTTTGACCTACTTTGATATAAATTGTTAACCAAATACCTCCTCAAAAGTGATTATTGCATTTTTCATTAACCAAGTCAAGACCATCTAGTTTAATTGTATGTAAATTTGGAGTCGGTGTATTTGAAAAATTGTTCTTTATCGTATTGACAAGGTCTGTTGGGATATTCTGTGAAACCTTTTTATAGAGCTCGAACGAGCAACTCCTGTCATATTTCTCATTAAACCTGTTTAATTCAAGTATATCTCCATTTTCATCATTTATATGTGTCACAGACCAAATTTGTTTTGTCATCCATTCTTCCACAAACGTAGATTTCCCCCGATTCAATATCACCCTATTATTCCACAATGGACCGTTGTGGGGACTAGAGTTATTGAGATCCCTTCCCAGACGCCTTAACGCCCACTCACATCCTGGGCCATCTGACCTCAGGAATTCGCATGATAAGGTGGGGCCAGGTTTCACAATGAACACACCCGAAACTCTGGCTGATTGGGACCCACGCCCAGTTTCACACCTTGGCTCAGGCGATTAGAGGATCATCAGGGGGTCCTTTTGTCCCTCTGTGGGGGGTTACTCCCACTAGGTTTATATCTGGGACTCTCCACCATTTGACCTTAGAACTGAAGAAGCTTCTCGGATGAGAGGTGAAACGTCTTCAAGCAACTTAAAGAAGTCCAGACGCTTTTCTTTGCAAGCTCCTTTGACTACGATGACCTGGATGACTGAGAACCTTCACAGACAGACTAAAGTTATGTTTAAACATTAATTTCCAATTTAACAAAACTTTTTGATGAAATTTGGAGAGTTTTATGGGCAGTTTAGAAATTTCAAAATCGCATACTAATAGGAATTGGATCCCCCCAACTCTGTTGAAAATAAGAGATGGTATCAAGAACCAGATCTCATTATCATTTTTTAAGAAAGATCAAGCCAATAAATCTTTAACATGCCATTCATTATTTCAAAATCTATTGCTCTTAAACCCCCCTCTTCATAGTCTTTTATCAAGTCCCTGTTACTTATATAGTGATGTTTATTTTTCTATATGAAATTAAAATTCACCTTATTGATGTCTTTTATAATCCTTGGTGGGATGGCTAGGGAATAAGCTGGATAGATTAATCTGGACAAAGATTCAACCTTGGTTAACATTATCCTGCCGAACAACGTTAAATCTCTCTGTAGCCAATGGTTTAGAGTTTATTTTGCATTTGTCAATTGTATTCTGAATATTCTTTTCTTCACTATCAGCCATGCATTTAGTTAACCAAATTCCAAGATATTTGATTTCATTTTTGACAGGTATATCGTACAAAGAAGAGTGAGAACAATTGTGGATACTCATGAGTTCACATTTGTCCAGGTTCAGGCGTAGTCCAGAAGCATCAGAAAAGATCTTTATTGTATCTAAGGCCAATTTGTTCTTTATTTTTTAGAAATATTGTTGTATCATCTGAAAGCTGACTTATTATTAATTTGTGGTTATTTATGTCTAATCCTTTGATGTTTGAGTTTATGACAGTAATAGCAAGTAGTTCAGTGGCTACAATGAATAAAAGAGGTGAGATGCTGCAGCCCTGCCTGATACCTCTCTCCACCCTGAACCTGGGACATGTGCCTTCTGAAAGAGAAACACAACTATTAATATCAGTGTATAACATAGTGATCATATGCAGAAATGCATCTCCAAACCCAAAATGTTTAAATGTCTTAATAATAAAAGTGTGTTCAATAGAATCAAATGCTTTATGGAAGTCCAAGAACAACATAAAATCATCATCCTCAATTAGGTAATTGTAATCGATAAGGTCCGAAACCAAGCGGATATTATTTTGGATCAACTGTCCTTTGAGAAATTCTGATTGTGTTGGGCTAATTATTTCAGAAATACCCGTTTTTAGTCTGGTTGCTAAAACTTTTGTAGTCCCTATTTAAGAGTGTTATAGGTCTTAGATTACTTAGTTTTTTCTTATCTTTTCCTGGTTTTGGAATTAATTTTATAACTCCTTCTTTCATTGTTGTCATAAGCTCCTTTTGATTAATACACACTGAATAATAGTAATTTTAAATCTTCCCAAAAGTGCTTATAGAAATTAGTTGTTATTCCATCTGGTCCCGGTGAGCGATCAGATGCCAAGCTCTTGATAGCAAAATCAAATTCTTCTATAGTTAGGTCTTCATCACAAATTTCTCTAAAATTATCATCAATTACTGGAATCCAAATACTGATTTTGTCAATGAAGGAGGTGATAATTTTTTTCCGAGTATGAAGACTTATAAAGGTTACTGTAAAAAGTAAATACTTCATTTGAAATGCTTTTAGGGTCTGTACATTCCTCTCCGTTGATTATTAGGTTACATACTGAATTATATTCTTGTTTACGTTTTTCTAGATTGCAAAAATAGGCAGTGTTCTTTTCACCCTCTTCTATCCACCTGGCTTTGGATCGCAAATAAGTGCCGTTGGCTCTATGAAGGTACATTTTGTCCAATTTAGATTGTAAGTTGTTAATTTTTCCTTTTTTTTTTTCCTCAGTCCAGTTCAATTTGCCATAAAGATTCATAAGTTCTTTTACTACGTTTGATTCCCCTTCTTTCCTTTGTCTGTTTAACTTTTTACCGAATGTGACTGAGGTTTTTCTGATTCTAAATTTAAGATATTCCCATTTGAGTATCGGTGTATTGATGGCTTCGTCATTCTGGATATCTAAAATTATTATTTTTTAATAGAATTACAATACTCCTCATTTCTCAGCATCTGAGAGTTAAATTTCCAATAATCCTTAAATGTGTTGTTTTGGTCTTTGCTTTGTAGTCTTAGCATAATGGTGCAATGGTCACTTATGGGGCCATTAGAGATAACTGTTTCCTTAACCTATTGTAAAATTGAGTTGGATACCAACCAATAATCAATACGTGACCTGCTTTGACCATTAGGTTTGTGCCAGGTGAATTGTTTGACATCTTTGTTTAAGTATCTCCATACATCTATTAATTTAGTATCATTAGCGAAAATTTCAAATATTGGGTTTTTATGTTCTCTTGAAAATTTTGAAGGCCATCTATCCAACCATTCATTTGGGAGTCACATTGAAATCACCTCCAACTACAATATAATCAGTGGGGAATTTGGTATTAAGTTCCTTTATAACTGTAGAAATTTGATACAAAAGGTTCTTATTCTCTTGATCATTGTTGAATCCATAAACATTGATCAAAATAATCAGAGTATTATCAGTATTTAACACACAGGAAACCCAATGTCCATCTTTGTCTGCCATATTGCACAAAAACCTACCAGGACATCTGTTGAAACAACCCCAGCAGACCTGTTTGTACCATGATTAAATTTTTTTTTTATCTCCCCATTGTTGTGACCAAAACTTCACATCAGATTCCTCAGAATGAGTTTCCTGGAGGAAAAAAAACAATTTGCCTGTCGCCCCTTGCAGAACAGAAAACAGCTTTATGCTTAATTGAGTCTTTAAGTTCCCTTGTGTTAAAGGGAAAAAAAGAAATGTTAGTTTTCAATTGGAACACGGAACACATGAACAGCTTTAAAGAACAGGTTTAGGAGGTGGAGTAGGAAAGTTTTGAGGTAAAAGTCCCATCATCCGAAATGTTCCACTGTGTATTCCTTTTTTAGTCAGATGTCAGCCCGTACCTGGGTTTCTACCATTGACTGTAGAAAACACTCACTGGTTCAGACAGATGCCACTGCTCAGTCCGCCATCTCGCGAGCCTCCGTCAAGAAGAAGAAGAAGAGCTTCTGGTTTACATGTAAAGTCAACTGAGGACACTCCACACCAGTTGGTGGTGGTAATGCACCGTTTTGCTGTTTGCCAACCGCCAATAAACCCAGAAAAGGAAGAAGTAACTGGAGGAGCGCGAGGAGCGCGACTGGGGGTCCCGCTAAACTTCACAAGTAGATTTGCATTGCGAAATCGCTTTCTGCCTGATTCGCGCGACCAAGTATCGCGACTGACGCAAAATAAAATACACGCTGCATTTTATGCATTCGTGCTTATCGCATCTGCCGCTCAAGTTGGAAAAAACCGGACCCCAGCTTCAAGTCGCGCCACGACAACCAATCAGGAACCTGGTGACGCGACGCTCTGGCCTAGTTCAAAGGGGCAGGTCCAGCCAAAGTCATTTGTTCTTCATTCAATATGTGGGAAAGGCTCATCAAGGCAGTAGCCAGCCACCCAGAGCTGTATGACATCAACTGCGCTTTCTACCGAGACAGGAATAAAAAGGACCTAGCTTGGAGAAAGATATGTAAAGATATAGGGCAACCTGGTAAGTTCATTAATTTCTCTTTTTAAATTTTTTCACTGACCCGGGGAAGCCGCGTCAAAGCTAGCAAGCCCGCCTACTGTCCCACTATTTCCCACTGATGTACAAATACCTTTCCGCTAACAAGAGAATGTGTTTATTCAGAGGACATCTGCAGGAGAAAGTGGAAGAGCCTCAGGGACACATACTCCAAGGAGAAGAGGGTAGTTAAGGAGAAGAGTAGTGGGTCTGAAGCAGTAAAGGGGAGGAAATGGAGGTTCTACACGGTCATGGGGTTTCTGGACCCCTTCCTCACCCCGCGGGAGACTAGCTGCAATATGGTGCGGACCCTGGAGAACATCCTTCCCGAGGACCAGAGACAGCCCGAAGAGGCAGCAGCGAAGTCCCAGTCAGAAGGTATGTTTACAATGAATTAATGTAGGCAGTTAATTTATGCATGTTCTCATATAGGTATATATGCTTCTGTCGCGTTCGGTGTGTGTGCTCTAGTGATGTGCGAATCATGAACGAATCGTTCAATACTCGAGAAGCACTTTACTGACTGGTGAATCATGATTCACAAACCCAACTGACTCATTCACTGACTCATCCCTGTTGTTGTTAGCAAACTAATTTCATTAGTACAAATATATCTAGCTTATAATTAAAATTGCGGGGGGGGGGAACAACTGCCAGTTTCTTAACAAAAACACTTCTGCTCTGAATTGTAAGAACAAACTCTGAGTAGAAGCATCGCTCTGCTAACATGCTATCAGAACATTTGAGTCACTCAGGCCCCCCCCCCCTTTCCTGTGCTGAATCTTAGCATGAACAAATCGACCCAATTCAGGGTCTGCATGCTTGAAGCATGCACACTATAAGTAGGAGAAGTGGGAAGTGAGAGGCCTGTGAAATGGGATGGTCTAGCCCTCTTTGCGCTGCTCAGGTTGCCTAGCAACCATGATACTAACTGCGAGAAAGTTACATACAGCATTGTGTGTCCTAAATGAAGGAGAAAAAATGTTTTGTTGGTCATTCATTTTTGTCATGACATCACTTTGATTAGTTGAATATCTGAGGCTAAGACCACAGGACTGTAAAACATGATAGTTGGGTTTCATTTCTGTACTGAACAGTCATTTCAAGATTAGTTAGTAAATAACAATTAGCTAATGTTGGTCATGAGACTAAAGTCATCTCACTGTGGTAATGTAAAAATAAAATATACAGGATATATTACAGCAGTGAGCTTGAACTCTGGGTCAAAGATTCAAGTTGCAGTTATTTATATTTCCTATCACCTTAAATCTTCACTCAAAGACAAGTATCTTTGACAGTGTATATATAGATGTGTTATACATAAGAGACAAATATTGTTCATTTAATATGTTGGCATTATTACATTTGGCTCAATGCTCACATATATGTGTAAAAAGGAAAATGTACAAGCTGTGAAAACTGTTTCTGATAGAATGAAGAGTAGACTGATATATGAAATATTCCTTTATTGGGTGAGAAAATCACACCTTGTCATAACTGCTTTAAGTCATATAGAATAGATATCAGAGCCTTAAACAGGCTGACTTCTGCTAAATGGGTCAAACTGGGCAGAAAGTCTACAAACACATAACATCCTTATAGAATATGATGTAACACTATAGATCAACTTACCTCAGAATATATAAAGCATATAAACAATTACAGCAATATGATGCAACAAACACAGCAGTGCTACTAATCCAAAATACTCAAAGCTTCATAGAACGGAAACAAACATTTATTTTTAGGGCCATTCTGCTGCTGATACATACTTTAGGTTTCTGAATATTAAACTTGTTTCAGTCGGTCTATTCTCTCCGTCTGTCACCTGCTGCTGGCTCTTCCTCCTCCTCTTCCTCACACACTGCTGAGTTTGTCCTGGTGGATCATCAGGGGTGCAAAGCCTCACAGATGATGTGCTTAACGAGTAAACCGTCAGCTCGTTCAGACACGTTAAAGTCTGTTTGGCTCGACACCACCGAACAGAGGCAGCAATATAACATAGCTAACATTAACAGTGCGGTGAATCCTGCTTGTGCTGTGATATTCAGGACTGCAAACCGAGCAGCATCACGGACTTTCAGCTTGTGTTTGTGGATACATGACTGACTTTAATTATCCATAAAATCATCACATTCTCTGTAAGATTAAGGTCAACTGTATGTGTGTATGTATGTATGTGTGTGTAGAGGCTTTAAAACCAAGTAAACGCTGAAAGTACAAACATCACTAATGTCACATAACCTGTGGCCAACAGTAATGTTTTAATGTTCTTCATTATTAAACATTCGCACATATATAAGTGACATGATATTCTGTACTTACTTTTGACAGTTCACTCTTCGGCCGCTCCCTTCTGCCGTATTTTGCGGCAAAATTATCCACACCCACCGCCGCGCTATGAATTGTGGGATATATGGGACCACGAAGCGTGCACCGGACCACGCTTGATATTTGGGGAAATCGACGGCGCATTTGGAGTATGCATTTGAAGTACACTTCAAATTGGGACAGCCGTCGTCGCGTGGCGGTGACATAATCGCACTCAAAATGCGTACTTCAAGCGTGCGGTCCCTTAATTGGGACACAGCCATTCACTCACCCTCTCCCTTGTGGCTCACAGCTTCTTCTTGGTTGGCCACCAGTGTTAAGGCGCATTACCGCCCCCTGGCTCACAGCTCTGTGGACATTTAGATGAGAAAATATATATTTGACACATTTGAGGAAAATACTAATAATATAAAAATACATGTTCCCTTTAGAAATTTTAATTTTTTTTTTGCTCTATAAAAATAGTTGCTTATGGATATATATGAAAAGAGAAACAAATTAAGTTTGAGTGAAAATGTAAAAATATTTGCACTCTCTAGGCAACTGACTCAAAAAATCCGATTCATCTTGGTGAGTGACTCATTCAAACTCGATTCAGTAAGAAGAATCGCATTTGCACTACTATTCTTATTGTGTATATCTTATTTATCTGTTCCTCTGGCTCTCCTGCTACTTTGAGCATTTACATGACAAAAGAATTTCCCTCGGGATAAATAAAGTTATTCTTATTTACCATAACAAGTATGCACCGTTAGGCACTCTCACGACTGCATGTGTCTCGTGTTTTCTCCAGTGTCTGATGTGGAGAGGAGGACCAGGTCTCTGCGGACACAGTACGGGAGGGTGCTGTATCACCCGGAGAAGCTGAGCGCTGGAGAGCAGGAGAAGCTGAGCGCTGGAGAGCAGGAGAAGCTGAGCGCTGGAGAGCAGGAGAAGCTGAGCCCTGGACAGCAGGAGAAGCTGAGCCCTGGACAGCAGGAGAAGCTGAGCCCTGGACAGCAGGAGAAGCTGAGCCCTAGGCCGGGAAGCTGAGCCCTGGAAGCAGGAGAAGCTGAGCCTGGAGAGCAGGAGAAGCTGAGCCTGGAAGCAGGAGAAGCTGAGCCCTGGACAGCAGGAGAAGCTGAGCCCTGGACAGCAGGAGAAGCTGAGCCCTGGACGAGCAGGAGAAGCTAAGGGAGAAACTCTGTTTCTTGAGGCCTTACATAGTTCGCAGGAAAGCATATTCATCTCTGGTAAGTCTGCAAAGAGAAAAATACATTTCCTAAATATTAAAGAAGGTCCTTATCACAGTTTAAAGAAATAACAACATCAATCTGTGAGAAAATTGGGGGGGAGACGTTAAAGTTGCAGCAGCAAGTCCTTTATATTTAGAATAACTCAGAGGGCTGTGTCTAATGTGAAATTTTTGGAAGACTTCATGAGAATGATCAAGCATTTTTTTAGCATTTTACATTTTTGCCTTTAAATGTTTTAATATAGTTTTAAGGACTTTAACTGAAACACAGTCAACAGCAAAACTGATAAATGCAGCAGACGACCTCCCGCTGCATTGAACAGCAAATGAACATCGAAACCGGATAGTTTCTCAGATGGTGGAGCGCAAATATTCAATTCAAAATAAGTACTTAAGTTGTTCTGGGTCTGATGTGTTTGCAAAGCCATTTTATTTCTTTTAATATTAGAAAGAAACAACAAGATTCAGACTACCCTCTATGAGCAAGCACTTGGTGACAGTGGGGAGGAAAATGTCCTTTTTAACTGGAAGAACTAGGCTAAGGGAGGGGAGAGGGAGCTGGCTGAGGAGAAGGAGACAGGACAAAAGACGCACTGTGAAAGAGCGCCAGATATTAATAATAATTAATGATTAAATTCAAGGAGTTTTGAGGACATCCTGATAATAATGAGTCAAAATAGTAATGCCTGTAAGAATTAAATAATTGAACTAGTTTTTCAGGGTCAGATATAAAAACAATTTTGCAGCTTGTTCTTCTTCTCTCAAACGACTCATTTTCTGAAAGGCTGCTTGCAGGTATGAAGAGGAAATTCTTTTCAACAAATCTGGCAGAAGAACGCTACCCAGGAGGGTTCGTTCCCAGTAGGCAGATGCTAGCAAGTCTACACGGCTTTGAATCATGAAACTTTGTGCAGAGGTTTTCACACAAGTCTCAGTTAGAGGTAATCAATGGTGCTGGGTATCGTCACTGATTTCTAGAATCGATCCGATTCACAAGGTCTCGAATCGAGGAATCGGGGAAAATTTTGCCCCAGTCAGAAATATTATAATTCAGATCATGCATCTGTACATTTCCATATTTTTATTTCTGTAAAAAGAAAGATGACACTTGCGAGACTTTATCAAAGGTGTAAGCATCACAGAAGATGCCTTTGTGTCAAAGTAACTGAGGATAAAACACAGAAAAACGTGAAGGCGACTTTCCTGGCCTGGGATTTTATAAAAATATTCTGTGTGCAGTAGATCAAAAACGAAAGAAAACCATTAATCAACATATGAACATTGCCTGATGCTGCTGAAGTGAAACAGAGCAAAGTTACAGAGGTTTTATTAGAGACATAGCTAAGCGTTTTGTAATTTTGCATAATTTTAAAAAGTTTAAACTTGTTCAGTAGCCTATTGAACAGCATAAAAGGAGGATACAGCTGGACAGCTCAGACTGATAGCCTGCTCCATAGCGACTGACGCTGTCATCATCACAGGGTAGCTTTATCTATATATCTATAAATCCTCTAAACTGCATGGTTTTTTTTGTTTGTTTGTTTTGTTTGCAGGCGGACAACTTTGTGGATCATAATGAGAAGGATGAAGAGGAGTTGAAGACTGAGGGGAACATTGATCAGGAGATGGGCAGCTCAGTAAGCAGCCAGCTGGATGCAGATGGAGGTGGCCAAGACTTGGATGAGCCCCAGTCTATGGACTCTGCCCCGAGTTTCGCCCCACTTCAGTGTCCACAGCCTCGGGTCACAGAGGTCGTGTCTCTGAGTTGTCCGCATCATCGCGATGAAGACAATCAACCTGTTAAAACGGCACCCAAACACGACGTCCTCAACCAGTTTGCTGAGGTCATGCTGGCTGACATGCGGCAGGTTGAAGACCCTGTGCTGCTTATGAGGCTCCGCAGAGACATCACAGACCTGGTGTTCAAAGCGGTGGAGGAGGACATGCGGAGGCGGTGTGTTCAAGCGCCATCCTCAGTGACTGGGAATGGCACGCAAAGCTGCTGCAATCCTCTGCAGCTGTATTCAAACATCTCCTGGAGCCAGAGGCTTCTGAGGAAGAGGAGGAACAAAGGGCATAGGACTGGAAGCAGGTCGCAGAGGCGGGAGGAGAATAGGAGGGTGTCCAGGAGTCAGTTAGCACCACCTGTCGATCCAGGGCAGTCAGCAGAAGGGTTGAGCGCAAACGGGCCTCAGGTTATTCTTCAGGTGTTTGAGATTAAAAAAGATGGGGAGCCAGATTTAGTAAAGATTGAAGATGAGCCTTTAGCCATGGACTGACTTGAGAGTCTGTTGGGGCAAGGTGAGCAGGGTTTGGAGGGATGGAAGAGAAGGCTGTCATTTTTTTTCTAGTTTTTCTTTTATTTTTGGATCTTTCACCTCAGGGCCACCATAGCTAGAATTTAAACTAAAGACACATCTCTGCCTTTGCAAAGTAAATGTTTATAAGCCTGTAGTTGAACTTTTGGATGGTCTTCATTCAGAAAACTGAATAAGATGAGGAAATTAGCTTTAAACACAAGGCAGCTCTCTTTGTTACCCAGCTAAAAGAAGAAAAAAAACGGTCTTCATTCAGAAAACTGAATAAGATGAGGAAATTAGCTTTAAACACAAGGCAGCTCTCTTTGTTACCCAGCTAAAAGAAGAAAAAAAACTTGTCTGAATCTTGTTTGGATTTTCTGTTGTGAATAAAGAATCTCTTGTTTTCAGCCTTGTTGGCCCTTTTCTTTATGGATTAGTAACCTGTCCAGCTCTAAACACAGCTGTGATGGATTTATGAGGAAATATTTGCAGTTTCTCCCCCTGTCCTGCAGATGGAAGCATGGAGACCCACCACAGACCCTTTCCGAAAAATTCAAATATCATGGAAAAGTTTATTTCCATAATTCTATTCAAAACATTAAACTTTCATAGATTATAGATTCAGAGCCCACAACTTAAATGATTTCAAGTACTTCAAGTAGTGTTTATTTGTACATAATTTGGGCTTCCAGCTCATAAAACCCACGAAAACAGGATTTCAAAAAATTTGAATGCTGTGAAGACCTCACCATTAACGTCTCATCACTGAGTGAAGCGATTTAATGACTCCTGGGAAAACCTGTGCAGGTGCTTTCAGGTTAGTAGATGAGTTATGTGTGAAACGCCGTTTAAAACATTCATGCCCTGTAAAAATTTGGGCTGATGTCTTCACAGTATTCTAATTTTTTGAAATCCTGTTTTTGTGGGTTTTATGAGCTGGAAGCCCAAATTATGTACAAATAAGCACTTGAAATCGTTTAAGTTGTGGGCCCTGAATCTATAATCTATGAAAGTTTATTGTTTTGAATAGAATTATGGAAATAACCAAACTCTTCCATGATATCCTAATTATTTGGAAAGGATCTGTAAGTCACAGCTCCTCCTGAACTAACAGGACTGCAAATTAAACCCCAAATTTATGCTTGTAATTGTAAAAAAAATATTATTTAATGATTATTACTCCACACTTCAGTGTTGATTATCTTTATTTCATTATTTTTCCCGTGTTCAGGTGTCTTTTCTTTTAGGCATTATCTCGGTTGTTTTCACAGCACGCGGGGTCCTTTTTGATTTTCAGTCAGGCGCTGCGGGCCGCTGTCTGTCTCTGTTCCACTGAGGGGTCCTGAGCGTCACTCACATACACACGTGTGCGCCGTGTTCTCGGTAACCATGGCGGACCTCCAGATGAAGCTTCTCCGAAAGAAGATCCAGAAGCGAAACGAGAAGGACAGAGAGCGCAAATTGCAGAAGAAGAAGCGGAAAGACGAAGTAACAGGAGAAGAAGGAGAAGATGGTGAGTGTTTGATGGCTAGGTAAACGCTGACGTCGCAGGCTAAGCTAACAGGTAGCTCTCTTCCCTGGTCCGTTTCTAACTTTTTTTTACTCTTCTAAGGTTTAAATCTGAGTTTGGGTTCACTGTAGCTGCGCATGCAGGTATATTTTCTCTGCTACACAACTGCATGCGCATTTCGCCGCATATTAGCTCAAAAGAGTAGTATACAAAACAATTTAGCTAGCACTGTGCTAACCAGGCTTCCAGAGTTTTCCTTTGGGGTTTATTAGCAACAAACTTTGATCATACTTCCAGTGAGTCTGACGGTGAGCTCAAACGGCCTCCAGGAGGAGGTACCCAGAGAGCCAAAGAAGAAACAGAAGAAGAAGAATCAGGAGGAGGAAGAGGGACCAGTGGAAGGGACCAGCACAGAGGAAACTCAGATGAAGAAGAAAGCGAAAAGGAAGCAGCTGGCTGAGGGTGCTGAACCTCCAGGTAAAAACAGAGCCCTTTATACGGGTAACACACTCAAGTTTACTTTGTTGGTGCTTCAGTTAATGTCCGTGTTCTGATTGAAGCCGTGAAAAAGAGCAAAACTGCAAAAGAAGAAGAAAATGGGGAGGAGGACACGGAGGAGGAAGAAGTAGCAGATGACAATGGAGATGCAGCTGCTGACAAACCACAAGAAGAGGAGGAGGAGGATGAGCCTGAGCTGCCGTGTGGACTCACAGGTACTGAGTGAATCGGGTTAATTGCATATGAGGCGGTTAACAGGAGAGGCCGGCTCTGCCGTGCTGCCTTCATGTGTTGCCCGGTCGCTGCTTCCATCGTGAGCCGGGTGTCAGCTGAGGCATACAGAAACTCTTATGGTGGTCTTTGTGGGCGGCGTCTTCAGTGACGCCTCTGACAGGAACGACTGTAAGGACACGCTGAATCAAACCGTATCTCTGCTCTGTTTATAATACACATTGCACACTTACTTACACCTTGGGCTTGCTGATATGGAAGCAAAATTGTATCACAATTTTTACATCTTAGTCAATAACTATATCACAATATTATAATATAATAATAATATAATAATTCAAATCACTAAACCACTGTCAAGCTTAAAGATTCCTTTTTGCTCCTAAGTGAAGTTATGAGGTTACTCTTGACTTGAATATTATTTATTTTCTACTGGAAAATGATAAATGTACTGGAAATGTGTTTTCAAATAAAATAAACAGTATTTATAAGAAACTAAAATCTTAATTCTGACCAGTCAAAAGCTTCAAGATTTATAGAAGAACCCAAACAGAAGAGAAAATAATCTTTTCTTTGGTCAGTGTCAAGTGAATGGTAAATGGCCTGCATTTGTATAGTGCTTTACTCAGTCCCTAAGGACCCCAAAGCACTTTACACTAAATTCAGTCATTCACCGGGCCCTCTGACCACCACCAGTAGGCAAACATGGGGTTAGTATCTTGCCCAAGGATAATAATAGAGATATTAATTATTAAATGATAATAAAAAAATCTGCAAGGTCTTTCATTCGTACAGGGTAAAACAGCTTTAACTTGTTGGGAAACAATTTAAATCATTAGACGGCAAACATTGTGTGTTTGTAAATAAACAGATCAGCTTCTGGTGGAGATCCACTCCTGCCTTGTTCTGCATGTCCATCTGTTTTTTAAGGACTGAGCGTAGATTCTGGATCAGACTATGTTAATCTAATGACCTCTGAGTCACTTTGCCTTGTGACATGGGGCACCGTAATGCTGGAAATTGCACAGAATGTCACCAAATTGCTCCTGGATCACTGGAAGAAGTTGATCTTTGAGACTGTTTTTAGTCTGGTCAGTCAGCAAAACCTCACAACTGCTTTTATCTTATGTCTTTTTATGATGACATTCAAGTATTGTACTAAATACATTCGTGGCAGAAGCACTATAAACCTGTCCATAATCAAACCATGATGTAATGTGAAAAATCCACAATTCTCCGTCTGTTTCAGGGGCGTTCGAGGACACATCCTTTGCCTCTCTCGCCAGTATAGTTAGCGAGAACACGCTGAAGGGAGTGAAGGGCATGGGCTTCGAGCACATGACCGAGATCCAGCACAAAAGCATCCGCCCTCTGCTGGAGGGAAGGTGGGTTGGTTGTCCATTTAGACTCTGAGCTGCTCAGCCGAGGCGGCAGAATAACATGAAATCGTTTGCTCCACTCTGCAGGGATGTCCTGGCTGCGGCAAAGACAGGCAGCGGTAAAACTCTGGCCTTCCTCATTCCGTGCATCGAGCTCATCTACAAACTCAAGTTCATGCCCAGGAATGGTGAGCTGCCGTCTGAGTCTCCTCGTCTCCTGCTTAGCTTCATCCTCCTCTTTCTCACTCACTAACTCTGTAACTGCTCTCTTTCATCTCAGGCACCGGCGTCATCATCCTGTCTCCTACACGCGAGCTGGCCATGCAGACCTACGGCGTGCTGAAGGAGCTGATGACGCACCACGTGCACACTTACGGTCTGATCATGGGAGGGAGCAACCGCTCAGCTGAGGCCCAGAAGCTCGCCAACGGTGTCAACATCGTGGTAGCCACACCCGGACGCCTGCTGGACCACCTGCAGGTGAGCAGAAACAAAGTTCTCTGTTCTTCATTCTCATTTTTAATACTTTAAGAAGAACACCGTCTGAGTGGCTTGTTCCACATCTACAGAACACGTCCGGCTTCATGTACAAGAACCTGCAGTGTCTGATTATCGACGAGGCCGACCGGATCCTGGAGGTGGGCTTCGAGGAGGAGCTAAAGCAGATCATCAAACTGCTGCCGAGTATGTATCAGTGAAAGTATCAATAAACCCAATAGTGAGAAATTCATGAACATTGATTTAGTTGATGATTTGGCACAAAAAACTTTTAGTTCTTTGAAGAAGCGTTTTGATTTCCAAAGCAGCAAAGTAAAACCAACTCATGAGCATTTTTGTTCAGTCTAAACGTATTTAAATCATGGACCTTAGTGACATCAAACACTGTGGAATTAGTCCAGTTAAAAAAAAATGTTTCAGGTAGAGCCAATAATGTGTCATCGTGACCTTTTGGCGTAACACCAATCATAGTTTTGAGAGAGAGGTGCTGCTTCTTTTTACTCTGTGACTCTAAAAGAGGAAGTGAATCACATGTAAATAAAGAGAAATGTGGGGTGTCCTGTTTTTGTATTTAAAAAAACTGACCACTAACCTGTGACATGAAGCAGCTTCCTGTTTTATAAAGACAGATGATTAGTTCCTGTTCATTAATCAGTCAGCAAAAAAAAATCCAAAATACCCATTTTCAAAACTCTTTTCTTTCTGCGCATCTTTTTGTATTGTAAATGTTTTATTCTCATTTCTTTGATGTGCCTTGGCTTTCTCTGAAAGGCAGCTCTCCACTGCCCTAAGCTCGTGCTTTTAGTTTAATTCATTTTCTGCAAAAAAATTCCGAACATCGTCACAACCCTCAAACATCTGTCATTGGCTTTGAAGAGCTGAAAAAACCTGACCAGTGTTACCAGGATTAGCTGATCTTGGATCAAATCCTAACCCTGAGTGTAAAATATCCTGAGAGAGTCCTTAAAACTCCAGATGTTGTTAAACCCTCTCACCTGTTTACTTTCTCTCTTTGATGTTTCTCAGAGCGGAGGCAGACGATGCTGTTTTCAGCCACTCAGACAAGGAAGGTGGAGGACTTGGCTCGCATCTCCCTGAAAAAGGAGCCCCTGTATGTCGGGGTGGACGACAACAAAGACAAGGCCACAGTCGACGGCCTCGAGCAGGTACTCAGTCATAAACTGTTGCATACAGGCCAAATCCAAAGAAGCCAGTTTCCCTTTCATCCTTTTTACTGAAATCCTTTCAGTATTTCATGAAATCACATCAGTTTTACTAGATGGTCTGAAATCACAGAAACAGCTAGAACTCAGTCTTCTTTCTCGTTGCTGATGCAGTGATCTCTCTCTCTCTCTCTCCTGTTTCAGGGCTATGTGGTGTGTCCATCAGAGAAGCGCTTCCTGCTGCTTTTCACCTTCCTCAAGAAGAACCGCAAGAAGAAGCTGATGGTCTTCTTCTCTTCCTGCATGTCTGTGAAATTCCACTATGAACTGCTCAACTACATCGACCTGCCCGTCATGGCCATCCACGTAAGTTCTCCAGACGCAGCTTACATGAATCTTATCTAAATATACAAGTGGTCAAAAAAACTGAGCCTCTAAAAGTTAAAGTTCTTTGGTTGTATCTGTGAAAAATAAGTTGGCTGATGTTAGAAGCAAATGGTTTTTCTTTTGTTTTATTTTATCCTTTGATATTTGAAGGGTGACGGTGAGCAGATGTTGAGCTGCAGCTGTTCTGAGCGTTCCTTTGCTTTGTATCATTTCGCAGGGCAAACAAAAGCAGACCAAACGTACCACCACCTTCTTCCAGTTCTGCAACGCTGACTCCGGCATCCTGCTGTGCACAGACGTGGCAGCTCGAGGGCTGGACATCCCCGAGGTGGACTGGATCGTGCAGTACGACCCTCCAGATGACCCCAAGGTCAATAAGTTTTTGGGGGGTTTTTTGTTGTTGGGGTTTTTTTAATTGCATATTAGTTTGTCATGTAAAATTATTGAGTTTGATCAAAAAATTCCCAGAACAGGACTAATCTTAAGGTTGATTTTTCTCCCACAGGAGTACATCCATAGGGTGGGTCGGACTGCCAGAGGCATCGATGGTCGAGGCCACGCCCTCCTCATCCTGCGGCCAGAAGAACTCGGCTTCCTGCGGTTCCTCAAACAGGCCAAGGTGAGCAGACCACCTGCCTGGTCATTTCAGTTGTACGAACACATACAGACTTTTAAGCAGGATTTGCCTTTAAATTTTACATCACATATAGTTTTATAGTGCCTTTTGCAGTGTTTGTATCTAAATCCTCCCACTGTGCTGTGGTGTCCCACAGGGCTCTGATTTGGGGACCTCCTGTTTTAATGTTTTTAACGAAAAAAATAGGACATGGCAATGAAAAGATATTCATAGACACTGATTGTCCCTTTTTTGCGTTGATTAGTTTTCTTTAAAGTCTGCATTATCTGCTTTATCTCATCAAGGTCCCACTGAGTGAGTTTGAATTTTCCTGGAGTAAAATCTCCGACATCCAGTCTCAGGTGAGAATTAACACTCAGCAATACCTCAGATATCAAAGGCAGTTTTGTGACTTGAACTCTGTCCTCCCTCAGCTGGAGAAACTGATCGAAAAGAACTACTACCTCCACAAGTCCGCCCAGGAGGCCTACAAGTCCTACGTGAGGGCTTACGATTCCCACTCGCTCAAACAGATCTACAACATCAACACCCTGAACCTCCCCATGGTGGCGCTCTCATTTGGATTCAAAGTGCCTCCATATGTTGATCTCAGTATCCTTTGCTGCTTGTTTTTATTCATTATGCTTGAAAACATCTGAATGTTACAGAATTGCACGTTCATGTAAAAGGTTGTAGCTCTCCAATAGAGGATCATTTTTAAAAAGAAAGATGTTCTCCTTAATTAAATGTTTCTCTTCAGACGTGCACAGCAGTAAAGGAGCCAAGCTGCAGAAGCGAGGTGGCGGCGGTGGTTTTGGATACCAGAAGTCCAAAAACGTGCAGAAATCGAAAATTTTCAAACACGTGAACAAAGGAAAGAGCGACCGAAGGCAGTTCTCCCGCTGAGCCTTGGATCCTCCCCCTCCTACTTTAATCCCATGAACTTCCTGCTTCAGAGCAGTCGGACTAACCCTTCTCCCTCAGACGTCTTATCAGTTTTCATGCTGAAACATTGTTTAAAGATATTTTTGTAAATGTTCACATTTAATCCCTGTATCGGCTATCAATTGTCCTTTCTTTCTTGTATTTGCAGCAAATTAAACCTCTAACAGATTAGTGTGTTTTGCTCATATCATTCTTTTTGTTAGTGCAAAAAAGCACCCGGCTGCAGGTTGATCAACCCAAATGTCCCAGAAAGACAGATGAACTGAAATTTCTGCAGGATAAAAACCTGTCACTCCTGCTGTTCCTAAAGATCTACAAGAGTTTAGTCTTTAAGAGTTCTTCCTGCTGTGTGTTCAGAAAAGACATGAAAAGTACATTTTGTGTTTATTCTGACTTGGACAACTTTTTGAGACATCCTGGTAATATGAAGGGTTCAAACAGCAGTAATAAATCAGCAGGATTTAACAGTCGCCACGTTTCCCCCTTTCACAGACAAGCTTAAGTCTCATGGAAAATGATCCTCCAGGTATTTATGGCTCGTGCCACAGCTCAGATCTTCTAAGGTCATCAAGTGTTATAATTAATTATAAAGGAGTCAAAGTCCTGTTTCTTCAAAACATCAAATGATTTAAAAAAAAAATGCTTTCCACAAACAGGATAAATTATAAAGTGCTGTTAAGAATTGGCTGGCTTTCAGATTGTAGTTAATGAAGTGCAGTAAATTACAATGAATTTTCTTTTTTTAAAGGACGGTTTTCTGACTTAAAAGTACTTGTCCCCTCCATGAGTGACTTCTGTTCCGTGTTTGGGGGTTAAACATCAACATCATGTACAGAACACATTCAAAATAAAGTCCAGGGTTCCCTTTGGGTGCAGTGAGGAGTTACAGCAGTCTCTGTGTTGAAGGCATGTTTGTTTTAACTGGACGGTGTAGAAACTGTTCCTGTCTTTCTTCGTGAAAAGCTCGCTGTATGTTCAGAGCATTTGAGAGGCTGCACGTCACTGAAGATGACCGCAGGCTGGATCGAGCAGTCGCCAGTCCCGTCTTCACCGTACTCCACAATCATGTTCCCCCCAAAATGTGGCTCCACACAGTTTAAAGTTACTGCGAGTGACCTGTGAGGCGAACAGAAACGAGTCTCAGAGAGCAAACAAACACTGACAGACTTTTGTTTTCTGGAAGCAAAGCAGTTAGTTTAAAGAAAAGGATTAAAACTAAACACGTGGACTCAAAGGAGTCTGTGGGACACTTGGCATCTTAGCTGCAGATTTAGAAGTTAAAGCACAAACCTCTTAGCGATCTGCAATCTCCTGATTTCCACACGTTTTAAAAAGTCATAGAAACAATTGTGGTTTACCAGCAGGAAAAACAGAGCATTGTGAGAATGTATACCTCCATCAAGGCTAAAGCTGGGACAGGAAGTGAGTTCCTGTATACCACCTGAAAGTATATGTAGATCTATCTGTAAACAAATGAAGCCAGCGTTTTAACTTTGACCTATCTTGTTTTAGAAAAGAATCCTAAAAGACTTCCTTGGTAGAGGCATACAGGAATAACTGCAGTCGCATGCCCACACACAACCAGGCTGGTCTGACTCAGATTTAATTTATCTGAAATGTAGGTTTTGCAAAAAAAACAACCCAACTTTGTCAAAGACTCTAAAACCTTCTAACACAAATAAAAAAAACAACAGAATGTGAAGAATTAACTGCTAAGACATTACGTACGAGACGACTGTGGTGTTGTATTGCAAGAATATCAGGTGAAATTGAAATGTACTGTCATGTAATACCACTAAGAACCACAGGGTGGTGCAGTGAGTCAGTGTAGCACGTAATTCCTGTTAACGTGACAGAAAAAGATTTATGGAAATTCAGTTGTAGCGTTGTTTCCTCACATTCTGTTTACAACTTTAGGAAGGATTAAAAGTATCATCAATTTGACCTATTTTGCTTCAACTTATTTCATGTTATGCAGGCTGTTTTAAACAGTCAGTGTCACACAGTTTTTTCTATTCTTTGATCTCTATGATGTCAGAGAGATGGAAAATCAGAAGCTCTGCTCACTTGTTGTTCAACCATTCTGCTTAGAAGGACAGCCAGTAGGAAGGCAGTTGGCTTAAAGGGGGAGGGGCTAAAACAGCTTGTTGTCCAAGCATGAGCTAGAGAAGGATTACTTTGAACCAAGAATCATGCAAAGCTGCTCTAGCAGAATAAATATGAACAGAACAGTTCCGCCTTAAATTAGTTTCTAACGAGTGAGGACATCTGCGTCGGTTAAAGCCGTGAACACACTGTGTTAGTAAAGCCTTTAATATGTAAACATGCCCCAAGTCGAAACTCAAGTGTCACACACGGCATGCAGCGGCAAATGTCGGACCTTAGTGGTCCACTCTGCTGGGGGGAGGGCTGGGATGGACCCCCCAGGGTGCGCCGTTCATATTCTTTCCTAAACCTGTTGTCAGTAAGTGAGGAGATTGTGAGTGAGTGAGGGGGAAATTCTCCAACAATGAAACAGTTAACAGCTGAAGTCACTTCCTGCATGCAGTGGCTTACCGCTGCCGTTGTAGCAGGGCTCTGTGGTCTCCCAGTTCATGGCTTTCTGGACGGCCTTCTTCCAGCGAGCGAAGCGGTACTCGCTCTCTGTTTGTGACGAGGAAACAAGTGTAAGTCATGCCGTCATAGTAACATCCACCAAATGCAGCAAATTACACTTAAAAGTCACTGAGTGGAAAACACTGAGATTACAGATTCAGTCAAAACTGATTTCAAGCTGAAGCTGTGTAAAAATAATAAGCTACACAAATATTTCTAAGATATTCACATTTGATGCCATTGCAAAGCAAAGACCACAAAACAGCACAGAGTGACACTGTTTTGAATTTTACTGCCCAGCAAATAACAAAAGAACATTTACATTACTTGAAAAATAAACACATCTGAATATATCTGCTAATTTTAAAGCTGATGGTAAAATAAGGAACATTTTCTCTGCACAAAGAAAAACACCATCATGCGCCTGAAGGGGGGAGGAGCCAGCCAATCAACTCTTGCAGCATGTTGCTGTCACAGGATAAAAAACAACTTTAAGTTCACTTTAATCTATTAAATGGAAAATTAATGTTTTACACAGTGTTTTATTTCACTGTAAATGTTTAACAGCATCTGGACAAACAGAAACAACGGCTGACACTGTAAATTCTAAATTACATAGTGCTGCATAACATTAACCAAAACTCGAGGCCATCCTGCTCTGTGTTCTATTATCTGCTGTATGTCCTGTTTCATGTATGTCATATGATCCCATTGCAAGCTTTTCACTCTCGCAGTCTTACCCTCAGGGTTTATCTGAGGCTCGTATCTCTCAGATGTGACATGTGGGAGCTGACCGGGACTCAGGCTCCATACGCCTACGCCCTCTGCTGCCCCCGCCGCCATGGCTACACCCAGAGCTGTGGTCTCGGACATGGTGGGTCGAACTGGAGCAACGTAAGACGGACGGTTAGAGAGTGGCAGAGAGACATGTTCCCCCTGAGAGCGATCAGGCTCATCACTTCCTGTATTCTGGTTGCTATTTAAATGCAAAAATTCTTCATTTTCATAATATTTTTGGTGAAATCTTCAAGTCAGTGATTTGTTTTTTAAATTTCTTTAAAAGTTAGTTGTAGGAAGTCGTCAGGTTGACATCAGCCATGTTGTATTTTCAAAATAAAAGGTTCCATGTAGTTTGAGGACTTCAGCCAGACTTTTTAAAGAGTCATTTTCTTTAAAATAAAATCTTCTAGTCAGCTATTGGAAATTAACTACGTACTTTGACACCTAAGTTACAGAAATTAAAGCAGAACATAGGCAAATGTTCAAACAAAACCAAAAAACCTTTAGTGCTACACTGGTTTTTAATATATCTTCAGTTCATGAGGTCATGTTGTGGTTTTGTAAAATGTCCAAACTACTCAGGGGAGTAGTGCTGCTGTTTTTGTTTTTTTGTGTGTTACTAGTCAGATCTATCATCCAGATAGTGCCTGATTGTTTTTTCAAAAGTGCAGACTGTGAGTAAAGAATAATCTTTACCATCAGACAGTGAGGACATTTTGTCATTTCTACATGTGACTAAACTTGTCATAGTGAACCAAACGGTCATTAGAGTCTCTAGTAAAGTCTCTAACAATCAAAAGGAGCAGCTGTTCAGCTTTGATGGGAAACATCTTACAGGTGATAAAATCATCCACTTACACAATGCTGGCAAAGTATTCTAATGAACAGGAAGATATGTGCGTGTAAAGTCAATTCATGTTTAACTGGTAAGCACAGGTACATTTCTGCCTTTACCTTCGACCTGTATATCAAAGTGTTTGTTTTAAATGGGTCAAATATCAGAATGGACAGTTTAAGGTTAAGGTTCAGCCTCGTGTCACCAGTTCCTCGATTTTAAAACACAGAGTTACTCTGAGTGTGTGTGCGTTTAGTAGTCGTACCTACAGGGATGCAGAGGATGTCGGCCTGCAGCTGCATCAGTAATCTGTTTGACGTCATCCCTCCGTCCACCTTAAGCTGCGTCAGAGGGACCCCGCTGTCCTGATTCATTGCATCAAGAATCTAACACACACACACGCACACACACTTCAATTCAACTACTGCTTTTAAACCCGTCTCTAACCCCTCTTTATTAACTCTTGTTGCATCTGAAATTCAGCCTAGCTGAAATACTACCATGCTCTGATATAGTGTTCAGTAAGCAAACCTGTATGTATCATAAACTCACGTTACACCTATGTGATCAATGCTTGGTGATAGCCCGGTTACACTCTTGTGTATCTTCTCGTTCTAGGGATGAGAAGAGGAGGCTCACCTCTCTGGTCTGGAAGCAGACGGCCTCCAGAGCAGCGAATGCCAAGTGGTTCCTGTTGGTGAACTGTGTGAGCCCACAGATGATGCTGCAAAACAGAGAAAGCAAAACTTTAATACTTTAATACAGAGACCAAACATTAAACTGTTCCACATTTACTACTGTGTTATTGGGCAGCACAGCAGAGCTCTGTCATGTTTTTGTGGCCTTGTGTTTTGTGTTTTTTTGTCATTGAATAGATATAGAATCACATGATCTTAAAACAACCTCTCCCCACATGTTCATACTTTGACACAGATAAAAAAAAGTAAGAAGCAGACTGCTAATCTGATTGCTAAACACCAGATTTACATCAGAAGGAGCAAAAGCTTCATTTAAGGGTTTAAAAAGAGTCCAAATGTGCATCCTCCAAACTCTGTTAATGTGTCTTTTGAGGAACTGAAATTGAATGTGAATATACTAAATGTCTTTAAATATCGAGCAGCTGAGATGTTTTGTAGAAGCTCATCTCCATAAGTCACTTAACAGATCCCGACAAAAAAGCCCACCTGTTCGATTACCAGTGAGGGTGTCATCTCAGAGTTTATAATCAGCTTTCATCCTGTTTATTATTAATGCCGAGTGCACAAAATGTGGGTGTGGATTTTCCTACATTAGCTTTGGGGTTCCTCAGGGCTCAGCACCAGGCTCATAGCTGATCTTTTAACACATGCACTGTTATACATAGAAATATAGCCATTTCAACAAGCGTTCAAGCATAAAGGATTTCCTCAGTTTAGAATGAGCCTGGGCCGACTCGCTCACCCTCTTGCGCTGGGCTCCCAGTAGGGGGCGTAGAGCCCCGAAAAAGCTGGCACGAAGTAACAGCCGTACGACGTTCCTACTGCCGCTGCCAGTTTCTCTGAAAGAGAGGACAACAGGAGACGGAAGCAGACGTGATATTCAAGCACAAACCCCAGCGCCTAGTCCTGAATGTAATCAATGGTGAAGTGCACGTACCGATCTCTGAGGACGACTGCACCATCCCCATGTTGTCCTTCAACCACCGTACCACTGCTCCTGCTATGGCCACCGACCCCTGCAGGAAACAAGAAAAAAATAAGCAGATCCCAAAAATCAGACCAGAGCACAGACAGCCGTCACCGATCATAGTTATTTAATAGAGGCCACCACACACCTCGAGGGCATAGCAGGCCGGCTCGTCTTTTCCCAGTTTGTAGGCAACTGTGGTGAGCAGGCCGTGGTCTGAGATCACAGGCTGACAGATCACATGAAAATTATTACTGAGAGGGTGAAATATTTCTCACTAAAACTGTTATAGCAATAACTATATATTTTAAAAACAACATCTTACCTTGGTGCCTGTGTTTCTGAGCAGGAAGCAGCCAGTCCCATACCTTTAGATGAGAATAAAACAGAAGCGTTAGACACGCGATTGGTTTATTGGTGACGTTAACTCATCTACAGTGTGGGTGCGCTGGTGTTTTGATTTTTGATATTCGCCACACTTAACAGATTTGCATAGTCCTCATGAGGAGGACAGAGAGGCTGTAGTGTCACATTTTAGCAGGTTTACAGCCAACCTGGGTATATTTGTTTTACGTTTCATGTCCACTTCCACTCGCTGGTTAGATTTAGAGAAAGCAGGTGGTTTGGGTTAAAACACACCTTAGCAACAGGAACAGAAATCGGGGGACAAAAATAAAGAAATGAGTACTCTTTCTGACTCCAATCAAGCACCTTTCTTGGGTTAGTTTCTGTGACTTCTATCTCACAGAGTTGGTGAATCAGGAGGTGGGGAGATTACTCAGTTGATTGAGCAGGCACTGAGCGATGATTAAATCCACTGACTTAGCGTTTTGTTATAAACTGATAGATTTGTATGTTAACTGCTACAGTTTACTAAGTACTACCTTTCTTTAGAGTGAAAATAGCGACTTTACAATTTACTGAAACACAGTAGAGACACATTTGAAGAGAACTCAATCGTATCAGTGTAGTGCAATTTAACCCAGTCCACATATCCCTATGATGATATTTATTAACAGCCTCAAATGTCATGTAATGTATTTTGTCAAGTTGAAAAAACACAATCTCTGTATTGAACATAGAAAAACAACGAATTGACGTCACCGTGATAAAGAAGGGAGCAGAGTGCTTACGTGTTTTTGGCCTGGCCTTCGTTGAAGCACATCTGACCAACCAGAGCAGCCGACTGGTCACCGAGACACTGACAGATCAAGTAGGACGTGTAAACAGTCATAGATGAGTGGATACAACCGCAAACATATCTGCTTCACCCTGGAAGCTCCAACCCAGCAGTTAACATAATTTTAAACCCACAGCCAGAAAATGACCTTTTGAAAAGGGGACCTTCCATATGCTACAGTGTGTTTCTGATCTACCCCACTAAACTACATAGTGATATGACCATTAAAATGTACCCAGAATGCACTTTTTAAGTTTCATGGGAATTATGAGAAAACAGATCAAACAACCAGGATACCAATGCTTGTTTCTGTTCCTCTACTCTACAGAGATGAAACTGCTGCAGCTCATTCAAACTACGACAGACCTCATGATGCTGATGCTCAGAGACGGTTATTTTCCTTTTAAATTGATTTGGTTGCAGCTTAAATGTGTTTTGCAGCCCTGAACTGGTCTTGCTGACATCTCCTGTAGTGATGCAGCTAGTTCAGACCCGCCCACGTGTACTTGGTGGGCCTGAACTGTGAAAGAGAGTGTGAAGATACCGCTTTTGCTTGGCTTCATTACATACAAAACAAATCAGCTGATTCTGAGGTGTCACAGGGCAGATTTTTCATTGGTCGAGCGAAATGGTCTCTACTCAGAAAAAAAAAAGTGGGAGGGAGCCATGCGTTGCTCCAGCACAGCGACAGCCTCGCAGCGGAACACAGACAGATGTGACTCATTAAACAAAGTTGCATAAGAGGGAAAAGCTCTTACCCCTGAAATTGGAACTCCTGCAAGTGAGCCGGATTTCTGGTTAGGAGACAGAAATGTGGACATGTTTAGATTCTGGATAAATGACCGCTGAGCTCAGTGCGACACAAAGAATGATATGAAAACCTTTAGGATGAAACAGGAGGCCGTTTGCTGTGCAGGGAATCAGACTCGTGGCCCTGTAGCCAAGTATGCATCACACTGAGTTATCAGTGGTAATTACAGTTTAATAAAAGCTCCACAAGCATCAAAGTGAGCATAGGATACTTTTATTATTTTAACCTAACTGAACCCTTTCTAGTTTTATCAGAACTGATTATTTATTCATTAATTCCAGTCATTAAAGAGGTCGGTCCTGCATGGAAAGATACATGTAGAGGCAAAAAAAGAAAAAGAAAAATGATCCGATCAATGAGGCAGAGAGAGAAACAAACAGCTGCTTCAGCTGATCTCTGGACCTCAGTCCATAGAGCACGTTGCATAAAAAAGCTTCGACATTAAAGTCAATGATGTTGTCGGGAGATGAGATAAGAGCCGCACGGCTTCTTATCAGGATGTTTATCAGGGAGAGGCCACAGAATGGGATTTTAAACAACTCAATGAACTCTTACCTACACTCCACAAATATACTATATACACACACACACATGCAGAAAATATTTCTGTGTTATGATTCACAACACACATGTAACACGTGCATTTGCACAGAAAAAAAAAAACTATTACTGATGAGGAGTCCATGGGCCATGGACGAGGTGCCTGCACCCCTGAAGGGCCATGGACAGGGTTTAAAATGGACCTCTGCAAGTGTGTAATTACACAAGCGGTCCAAATATATGGAAAAAAAAACTGCGTTACCTTATCTAAACAGTTTGTGCTCTGGGAGCTTTTTGGAGTATTTTATTCCAACTTTGTTTTATTGATTTCAACAATGACATACAAAGTTAGCAACAGCAAAGTCAATCTTGATTTCAGAATGTCCATTATACCCTCAAACCCCCCAACCCGAATTCTCCCCCTACCAGGTCCACACTAGACAAGACACCGCAGAGAACCAGTTTCTGCCCACACACACACAAAAAAAAAAAACAACAACAAAAAAAACAACAACATCTCAGGACCCATACACATAACCCAAAACTCAGGACCCAAAAAACAACAACAACCACAACCCCCCCCCGCCCCGCAACCAAACAAACAAACAAAAACAAACAAAACAAAAACAGAGAAAACAATAGCAGAGAAAGGACCAAACAAAACAAAAGGAAAAACAAATAGATAAGGTATAAATAAGATTTAAAAAAAAAAAAAAAAAAAAAACCATAATGTAGCTTCGCTCAGTTCACTTCAGACTCAGGAAGTAAAGTAATGGTGTCGACCAGCAAGAGAAATGATTTCCAGATTTTGTTAAATTCCCTAATAGAACCTTTTAGAGAGAATCTAAGTTTTTCCAGCTTTAAGTTAAAGAGTACATCTCTCACCCAATGATCATGAGTTGGGGGGTGGGGAAGCTTCCACTTCAACAGAATAAGCCTCCGGGCCAGTAAAGTGGTAAAGGCTAGGGCCTGTTTGAGGGGACCAGATAAGTTCAAGTCGGGAGGAATGCCAAAAATTGCAGAGAGTGGGTTAGGAAGGACAGTCTGGCCATATGCTTGGCTAAGTGTGTCGAATATATTCCTCCAAAATGCACTCAGTTTCGAACAAGACCAAAACATGTGGACATGGTTGGCAGGCGATAGTCCACATCTGCTACAGGCATCACTGATGGTTGGATAGATTTTAGATAATTTTGCGTTTGTATAGTGTACTTTATAGACCACCTTGCACTGAATCAAAGCATGACGAGCACAAATTGAGGACGAGTGAATCAATTTCAAAGCAGAATCTTACTGCTGTTCTGGCAGGGTTGTCTGTAGCTCTTCCTCCCATCTCAGCTTAATATGATAAATAAATGGATTTGGGGAACAAAGCATCTAGTATTTTATACAAGGCTGATATCAGTCTGTTTTGATGAGGGTTCGTCTACAGGATGATATCAGGATTTGTTTCTGGAGGCCGATTGGGAAAGTGAGGGAACTGCGTTTTTACAAAATTTCTAGCCTGAAGATAACGAAAAAAAATTGGAATTAGGCAGGTTGTATTTAGACGATAGGTCAGCAAAAGATAGAAAGGTGTCCTGACTGTACAAGTCCTTAACAGTCCTAAGTCCGTTATCTTTCCAACTGCTAAAGGCCGCATCAGTGTTTGAAGGTGCAAAATTACAATTTTTTGATAAAGGCGTTAGCAAAGACGGTCCAAGTAGCCCGAAGTATTTTCTGAACTGTCGCCAAATAGTTACCGTTTCCTTAGCTATTGGATTATCCCCAACAAGGGTTGGAGAAAAAGAGAGTGGTGAACTGAGTATTGATGATAATGAGTAACAGCTAGATGCAGTTTCCATTTGTACCCAGGCTGGTGCAGGGGGGTCGTTATGAACCCAATGTAAAAGTTTTTGTATGTTAGCTGCCCAATAGTAGTGTCTAAAATTGGGCAGACCAAGACCACTGTCAGTTTTAGAGGACTGAAGAATAGACTTGCGAATTCTAGCTTGTTTCCCTCCCCATATGAAATGTGACAGAATCTTTTCTAACTTGTCAAAAAATGCCTTGGTAAGAAGAATTGGGACATGTTGAAAAAGATACAAGAATTTTGGGAGGACACTCATCTTTATCAGGTTAACTCTCCCTGCCACTGACAGTGGTAGAGAAGTCCAACGGTCACAATCTTTCCCAACATTTTCTAGTAGGGATAGAAAATTCTCCCACATCATTTTACATATAGAAGAGGAAATAAAAACCCCCAACCATCTAAATCCGGTTTCTGTCCACTTAAAAGGCACTATTGAGTGGGGAAGAGCTCTGGCCAGGGAATTGAGGGGTTGCAACTCGCTTTTTTGATAACTGAGCTTATATCCTGACAGTGTACCATATTGGTCCAGTATGTCAAAAAGCACCGGGAATGAGTTTAGAGGGTCAGAAATGTACAGGAGCAAATCATCTGCATAAAGGGAGAGTTTGTGGGTCACACCGAACCTTGTAATGCCTTTAAATCTATCCTCTGAACGCAGCCATATTGCAAGAGGCTCGATAGCAATGGCGAATAGGAGGGGTGAGAGAGGGCACCCTTGCCTAGTGCCCCTCTCAAGTGGAAAAGGCAAAGACAAGTTGTTGTTAGTACGTATACAGGTGGATGGCGAGGAATATAGTAGCTTAACCCAGAGAATAAAGTCAGCCCCTAAGCCAAACCTATCCATCACCTCATAGAGGAAGCTCCACTCGACGCGGTCGAAAGCTTTCTCCGCGTCAAGAGATGCCACAACCTCTGGAATTGAGTTGCACGATGTATGGATAATATTCAAGAGGCGTCTTGAATTGTCATATGAGTGCCTGCCGGCCATCCCGTCTGGTCAGAGGCGATAATTTGTGGCAGAACACGTTGTAGCCTAAGTGCGAGGATTTTAGATAGTATTTTAAAATCAATATTTAAAAGAGAAATTGGTCTGTAACTGCTGCACAACAGAGGATCCTTGTCCTTTTTCAAGATTAAACAAATAGTAGCTTCGGACAAAGTCTTGGGTAATTGACATTTTGAAAAGGCTTCATTATACATATCTTTCAACAACGGTGCCATAAGATCAGAATTGGCTTTATAGTATTCTGCAGAGTAACCGTCAGGGCCCGGCGATTTACCTGTGTTTAAGGATTTAATGGCTTCTTGTACCTCTACTACAGTAATAGGTCCCCCTAATCCCTTCGTCAGATCACTATCTATTCTTGGAAAATGTATATTTTGGAGAGTTTCTTCTGATAGAGGGGGAGAGCTTGAAGTGTACAGATTGGAATAGAAACTTACAAATACTTCATTAATTCCCTCTTTTTTGGAGTATTTTAAATACAATTATCTGAACAACAATAATACGACTGCTGTGCATTGATTTGTACTTCCAGACTGTCCAAGGAGGTTAAGCTCCAGTTTTGGTGAAATTCTAGGCATACACTGTACCCACACAGTTTGTGGCTGTAGGTTGCTAACCAAGCCATATAGGTTTAGTTGGAAATGTAGGAATCCACCTTCAGAAGTCCAGCATGGTGACATTTATCCTTTATATGGAAAGAGGTTAAAAACACTAATTAATATGATTTATGTAGGAAAAATATCTACTGAATTAATTTAAATGTAATTAATTTAAAAAATGTAGGATTGGATGAAGTCATGCATGCATCTGGATGTATGGAAAAAACTGTGGAGCATAAATCCATCAGAATAATAAAAGTTCAGCTGGAAATCTTCAGCAGACCTTCACTATCTACACTGTCTGTACATTATCACCTCTCCTGATGCTTCTTATCAAGTTTTATAGCCATTACAGTAATAACAACATTTAACGAGACCATTCACCAGAAATATTTATGGTTCGTGTCGGTATCAGGTTGCACAGATTTCACATATCTCTTCTTTGAGTTGTAGAGGGGAAAAAAAGGTTGTTTCAGGTTTGTGACCTCAAAACACAAATGGTGTCACAGAAACAAACACACAGCGTGCTGTGAGGCGTATCTGAGCTCACCATCCAGCCGTATATCTCAGACGAGCTTCTGACGCTGGGCAGGATTTCCATCGGGATGTCAAAGTACCTGAAAGGAGCATAGCAGGAGTCTGTCATGAGGTTGTAGGTTTATAATAAAAACAAACACAAAGGCACTTATAGTTTTTCTTTTTTTTTGATGAGGTCTTTGTTCTATTTTCTGTCCTGTTGTTCTGTGTTTTAATCCCCAGATCGCTGCAGATGAGGAAGAACAGACAACAAAGGAGAAAGTGGCAACAATGTGACTTTAAAAATGTAGCTTTTCACACGAGGTTTCTTTAAACTTTAAATATAAATCAAATCAATTAAAAACAAGGCAGACATTGATCGGATGCCAAGTTAAGCCCGTCCAGCCCGTCTCCAAGGGCAACCTGCAGCCTCAATGTAGGGGGCAACGAGGATTGGCCTGGGCAAACCACAAGCAATCAAAAGCAAACTACATGAGAGCTCCTCACCAGTACAGGAAGGATGTCCGGTGTAAAATCTTTTACAATCGAATATATGACTCCGATTATTTCCATACTGGGATGGTTAAGTCTGCATGAAGGCACGTGAGCCACTTTAGCAACCTCTAAGCAGAGCAGCAAGATGAAGAAGAAGAAGAAGAATCATGACTGAAATTAAATCTGGAGGAGTTCGACAAAACGGAGCTAAAACAGAGTGTTTGTTTCTCTCTCACTAAAGCTGGGGAGCTGACTCTGAATAATCAGGTGAAGACCAGTCCATTCTTTCTGTGCTTTTATGACTCAAAAGAAATAAAATGTATTGGTGCAGCGTTTTTTCCACTGCTTCAACGCTCAGCCAACTGCATAAAACAAAAGATGGCTCATTAACTCCCTGAATGGGAAGTGAATGAGCTTTTACTGGAGTGTGCAAACAGATACGCAGACGATAACCTTAAATGCTTTATTCTGTGTGTGACAATTAAGCAGCAACCTCCATGGCTAAAACATGAAACCAAAAACTGCAGTTCCTTTAGCCGCCACTTGAGACTGCATTAAAAACTTAGTCCATCCCCAAAACATCCAATTTTACAGCAGAAATAAAGACATAACATATGCATCACTCATCTGATTAAGTTGCAATAAAGTTTGCATTATTAGGGGTGTGGCGTCTCTGACTGACAGATTTATGGCGACACAGGTAGCTGTAGCTGCTAGCTCTTTGCTAGGCTTCACCCGGCCTGAACTAGACCTCTGTTCTGTGTTTGTGCTGTTGGAGCCTTTTATTACCTAATATTTAATTCAGATGAATTCAGTTGTTATTTAATGTTATTAACACTAATTGGTTGGCTCTCTGATGCTCTTATATAGTTTGTTTGCTAACCTAGCTAGCTAGCATTAGCCAATAACACAGCTTTTCAGGCCCTTCGTGCAAATATGGTCACTCTGGCTCCACAATCCAACATGGCAGTGGCCAAAACATTTGGATAGGCTGTGGCACCCATCCTTTATATACAGTCTATAGTGTACAGGGTATAGTGTGAATCACCTGCAGAGTTCAGGATCCCAGTCCATGGTGTGAATGTTGAAGAGCATGGTGCGACTGGCGTTTGAAACGTCTGTACAGTGGACCCCGCCGTTCTTTCCCCCTGTTAGACACTGGGGGGTGGAGGGGTGGGGGTGTTAAAAGACCAAATCACACACTCATGACAGAAGTAGAGGTACAGGTTCAGGTCTTACCCAGATGATCCAGGAGTCCACCGTGCCAAACATGGCACGCTGGCTCAGGAAAGCCTCATGCACCTCGTCCACGTTGTCCAGCAGCCATCGCAGCTTCACTGCACTGAAGTAAGTGCTGATGGGAAGGCCTGTTTTATGCTGTGGAGATTAAGACAATAGAAACAGAGATCAGAAAGATATTTCAACAAAGAAAGCAAGAGTCCTGCCTTCTTTCAGATTTCTGATTCAAAGTAGATAACAAAGTCACTACTAGAGATGGACCGATCCGATATTACGTATCGGTATCGGTCCGATACTGACCTAAATTACTGGATCGGATATCGGAGAAAAATAAAAAATGTAATCCGATCCATTAAATATCACGAAAGCACCTCACATACGCCGTAACTCACCTCAGAACGTTAGCACGTCGGAGCAGTATGCATCACGTGATAGAGGGCTGTGGCATGCGGGACCTGTCGGTGGTCTGGATAGCATTTGGAGCTTCGCTAGCAACCTGGCATTTCATCTCCGACAAAGTTATCCCCGAGAGAAGTAAAGCAAGTGTGTAAGTCCATCTCTGAATCTTTGTAAAGCATTCCTGCGTTAAGCTTAACGAGCGACTGCCTCTCGCTCTCCGGCTGCTACTTCAATCGTGAAACTGCTAATGATCAGCTGATCGGCTTTTCTGTCGCGAGTCTCTCTTGTTTGTTTTTGGTCCACTTTGCGCCAGAAAGAGGAAACCAGCGGCTGAACAACAGCAGCACGTTTAAGCTTGATAAGCTGTTGTTACAATTTATTTAATATTACTTTCTACACCAGGATCTTTTCTACGTAGCTGACGGCTGGTAACTGTGCAGGGGCGGATCTAGCAAAGTTTAGCCAGGGGGGCCGATAGGGCATTAACGGGAAAAGGGGGCACAAAGACATACTTTTCTTTCTTATTCTCATTTAAAATGTCTAGCTTTTAATAAATAATTATCTGACACCCAAAGTTTTAATTTGATGTAAAATGAATAGAAGTCAATTACTGTATATAGTGACTATTAAGTCTAATATATATACCCTAGTAAGCTATAGTACTTTTTCCTTTGGGAAGGTACCATCTGTGCAGTCTGCAATTTTGTTGAAGAAAGATGTTGAATCTATTTAATATTTCTTGAAAAATAATTGATTTCTGTGCATTTTTTTTCACACTGCATCAAATTAAGGTTGATTACGTCGATTAAGCATCATGAGGTGGAGCGTGAGGGGTGGTTCCCTATTTTTTATTTATTTATTTTTGTTGTTGCTGGGAGTTGGAACCCTATTAGTTAGGTTGCTTAATATTTACGCTAAGTACTCTTTAAAATACCAGAATAGGGAGGATGGTGTAGGTCTAAGTTTATTAGATTGATCAGTATTGCTGAACTATGAAATATTTTTTTTGTATACAGGTATAACAGAATAGCTTTAGTGTAGTTGTTGTTTTAAACTTGAGTATGAACTTGCAGACTTGCAAAATGCAGCAAGATATTTAAAAAACAGTTTTGTTGATTAAAAAACACTATATCGGATTCATATCGGTATCGGCAGATATCCAAATTTATGATATCGGTATCGGTATCGGACATAAAAAAGTGGTATCGTGCCATCTCTAGTCACTACTACACCCCCAAGTGTTCCTCTGACCCACACAACTTGCCCTGATTAAGTTGTTACCAATTTCTTATCAATCATCTCTCACCCTGAGGTGGTTCTTGTTTCTTCCCGGAGCTTTGTTAATGAGCCTCTCTACCGTCGACTGAGTACGAAGGTCCAGCCAAACTAAACACAAAGCAGGAGAGGAGAAAGATTCAAACACGGGAACCCAAAACATTGGCATTAGTTTTGTGAGAAAACCGCAACCTCAATATGTAGTTGTAGATCTAAGCTTCATAAAGACTAACTCTTTAATCAGAGGCCAGGCGGTCTCAGTGTAATGAATAAAAACTGAGTACGGTAATCAGGAAACATTTTCCTCAGTTTCTAAAGAAATGGCAGGAATGACGAGGACCAGCTGAAGTTTGAGACAACACAAGAACTTTGTTTAACTAATCACGCTCCTTACAGCCCTCTGACCTGATCTTCATTTAAATTCTGTGGTTAAACCTCAAAGAGGATCCAAGGCAACAGAGCTCCAGGTCTTTTTCAGGATGGATGAGAAATGAGACTCACAGCTCAGCGTTCCCAGGCTTTGTTTGAATGGGCATGGGCATAATCCCAACTCTAATTTTAGCTTCTTTATTTTTCATCTTTCTGGAAGAACAAGGCCATCCACAATGTATTAGTGAACAATGTCCTTGCTTTTATTTTGAAAGATTGGTCACTATTAACCAGCTAAACTTGAGTCCTTCCTGTTTAAGGTTTCAATGTGTGATATTTTATTATATATACTTCTACTAGCCAGGCTGCTGGTGCAGCTGTGTGATCGTTTTCACACATGAACTCTGGAGTACGCTGTGGAACCAGGTCGGGATTTTCCCCAGTTGAGCTTCATCACACAAAGCACAGCAGGAAAGTAAAATGCCGCTTTGAAAATACAACTTTTGCTAGAGTGAATCCCGCAGGAGGCAAAACAGGAGACCGTGTGGACTTTGTATGAGCAAACCAGCATGTTAAATTCTGTTTAATTTTCAACCTAACTTGGATATAGGAGTTCTGCACCTCTGTCTGATGATGCTGTGGTGCATTTTTTGAAAATGGCTAACATTAATCTGAGAGCCCGACTTAAACTTCAAATTATTGCAAACTGCAAATAGATAGTAAATTATCCCAAACAGAGCATATCAATAAGATAGCTGCTAAAAATAGTTTGAAATCAGGTTATATCATTAGACCCACTAATAATATTTAGATTGAAGAGATTTCTTCCTGTTAAAAGGGAGTTTTCCCTCCCCACTGTTACCATGTGCGTGCTCACAGCAGGTGGTATGATTGTAGGGGGTTTCTCTGTAAGGTCTTTACCTCACAATATAGAGAGATTGAGGCAACTGCTGTGGTGATTTGGTGTTATATGAAGAAAAGTGAACTGAATTTATTTTATATATGACTCCATTGTAAATCCTGTTAACTGCAGGTTATTTTCCAGCATGAACGGGGATATTAGACATAAAAAAGCCACATAAAAACATCTGCGTTCACATTTTGGCTCAAAACCTGATTAAATAATATGAAGGTGACACACCTTTTGAAGAAAATTGCTTTGCGGTGCCTTTTCTCCTGCTGTGAGAAGTTAAGCACTAACATTTTTGTTAAAAAAAAAACAAACTTTGCTAGCTTTTGTTGGCTGTTCATAGCTCAAGCAGTGCTCTGATCAGTGAACAGCTGACACAACACCCCCCAGTCGAATCAGGGGACTGAAGAGCTCGCTGATAAACTGGCTTTTTAAACTGAAAGCCTGTGTGAGTGGGAGTGACTGCTGCTGGATCACAGCTCTGATGGTTTTTGGCGGGGCAGGAACAGACACGACACAGGATGCTTCAACCTGATGTAATCAAGTCATGCCCCGAGTCGTTTCCCACATTACACAATCCACTTTTTTACAGCTCGGTGAGTCTGACACCGATGTAGAAATCCAAAAATACTGATGCTGACGCTCTCACCGATGGCGTTGTAGAGCGGCTCGCCGGTGTCTTTGTCCCAAACCAGGGTCGTCTCTCTCTGATTGGTCACTCCCACCGCTGAAAACAAAAAAAAGGATAAATTTCAATGAATTTGGCCCGATGCCCTCATTTTCTACCCCGTCTTCCACCGTCAGCGTCCTGCCTTTGATGTTGGAGACGTCGATGTTGAGCTTGCAGAGCTTCTCACAGGTCCTCTCGATGCACTCGTGAACAGACTGCATGATCTCCCGCGGGTCCTCCTCCACCCATCTGACCAACACGCAAACACACAGAAAACACACGCGTGCATGTTTAAAACCTGTTTGAAATTTGCGACAGATGAAATTTTGAGACTTTTCAGGATGTGAAAATCCAGAATGCTTCAAATTTTTATGAAAAACATGATAATCAAGATCAAATTAAAATCTGGGAAGCCTATTTACTGCTTTTATAGACCAATAGAAGCATTTTAAAAACTATGATCTGGCACACCAGCCAGACCCAAGCCAATGCAGTGATTTAACAAAGGGAGTTATCCACTTCACTCTGGATGAGTTGCAGTTTTCTGATTTTTTACTCAGACCTGTAAAGACATTGTTATAACTGTCTAACCTGTAGATGTGCATGTTAGAACTTCTTCAGACAGAAATCCTTAATTTTTTCTACATTTTAAGGTTTGTAAAAAGCCGACTTCATTAACAGAGAAAAAGTCTCGCTTGTAGATGTTTCCATGGTTCCACGGCCCGAATGATCACCTGCAGCTTTGTGAGATTTGCATTCAGGAAGAAAACACCTTAAGTTTACAGCCTGCTGTAATTTCTGTCTGGGTGTTCTGGATCTGCAGTACAGCCGGTCAGTCTGTCTCTTGTACCGGGTCACACATGCCAGCTTGTTAGGAACAAAAATGAAATAAAACCTGGACCTTAGACTCAGTTTGTTACATATCAAATAAAGTTATGTGATTAAAAGGTGGTTAAACTGTAACTTAGTAGCCTGTTAAAAAGACACCAGAGGAGGGGGGAGGTGCTGCTGTTACAAGCTTTACAGTTCTATCAACACATATCTGTGCAACTGCTTAAGACTCCTATATAAAGCAAGAGTTAAAATTCAGAAGAAGGAATATTAACAGGTTTGAGTTATTTTCATTGGGTTATATTATATTGGTAAGTGAAAATATGTGAATCAAAGTGATAAACGGTGGCGGTCCGAATGAGATTTTGAAGGATAAGAAACCTGCCGGTCTGCTGACTACAAAGGAAACTCAATGTGACTGCAGGAAGAAGCTTTAGCCTCTATATGGATGAGCAGGTAAACTTAACTGCTATCACATCAAAAAAGTCAGCCAGTGCATTACTGAAAACCAGTATGTGGATGAGACAGAGGTGTTTCAGAGAAGTGGGCAGGAAGTGATGTGGACAGACTTTTTTATTTTTCAACTGTTAGGCATGCAGGTGGAAATATCTGCTGTTAACAAACATGTCCTGCTATCAGACATGCAGGTGAAATAAAATGGACAACAGCTCAAAGGATAATCTGTGAACTACTCCCAGAGAAAGACAAGCTGAAGCTTTTACAGTGGCCCTCGCAGTCCCCTGACCGCAGCGTTGCCAAAAATGAATGGAAGTGTGTTTACTTTGTGCCACGGTGCCTTTCAACAACGGCTTGCAGCTTTCTCAAGAACATTCAAACTGCACATCCCCAAAGAAACCAACATTTAAAAAAATAAAACATAAAAACTAAACTCCTGTATTTCTGCTCTTTATCTTCAGCGTGTGCACATATTTGATTGAAGGCCCAGTGTGATGAATCTCTGTGATTAGTTTCTCTCCTCTGCTCTCTGCTTCACAGCTGAATGAGTAACATTTGATCAAAGGACAGCGTTTTTATCATCAGCTTCCTGATGGCATCGGTTTTTTTTGTTTTATCAGCTTCGGCCTCAGTAGACAATTGAGCCGTCACCTGAAAAGTGGACTCCTGTGAGTGCACAAAGACTTGAAGTGCAAAGCATCCTGTTATTCCACCAACTATTCAAGCAACACGGATCTCAGGCTGGGTGTGCAGAGATAATAAATACTGCACATAGGTGTGCAATCTGTTGCACCAGGACAATATGGTGGATACACACAGTGTCTAATTGTGATCATTTGAAGTTCGAGTCACTCACCCCTCTTTGGGGAAACTCTGGTTGATCTCTACTTGGTGGTGACTGATCAGTTCAGCTGTTTTTGCGTTGAACACCTGCAGAGAAACACAGCTCATTAGAAGCAGGAACAGAAATATTAAAAGCTTCATTTAATTAGGGAGCAAATTAAAGCTGCCACAGTTTAATTTTTCCAGTTATGTTTTTCCTTCCACCCACTGAGGAGTGGAAAGACGATATTGATCACTGGCTCGATCGCCTCTGGGTGCTGCCAGAGTATTGTAGAGAAGAAGGGAATTAACACGAGGCAGGACTTTCCCTGTCACCTGGAGTCAGACAGAAGTCAGCATTTCTTCTGATTAAGTAATAGGATAAAGCTCCGTGCAGCACCACCCTCCTCTCACCGTGCGTTCACTCAGCTACAGGAAATCCTTGTTACGCTTTTAGGACATGTGATCCAAGAGTAGTTTCAACCCTAAAGTCTAAACTTTAGACTTCCTGACTTACTTTACACTGGAGATCTAACAGGAACAAACTCAGCCTGTAAAAAGAGAGAGCATTGATGCAAGGAGGACGTCTGATGTCATCTTAGTTCAGTTGCACCATCAGTGTTAAAAGTCTGAATCATCACGCTTACTGAAAACTGATGAGAACTGAACTCAGTCTGAACTTGTTTTTTTTTTACCTGCTCCCAAAAAAAATGTGACCTCACAAATACTGATCGTTGCAAATTTCAATCAGTGCTGCGGTCCCACAGAGGATGGGGCTACGCTCACTGATTCAAAAACTAATAAGCATATAATAAAACAACGTCCTCTGCACCCACAGACCCAATCTGTGACGAATACACGAATAAAACAATAAAGCTGCTTCTCTTCTGAGTTCCTCATCTTGATTTCAACTCCACTGTCAGCTGCTGACTCTAGGGCTGATTCTCAATCATCCACCCACAGCTTAGACATGTATTCTGCCCTTCTGACTGTTAGTGACACCTCAAAAAAAGGAAGGGAACGCTGAATCATCAGAGCATAACTCAAAGTCAGGTAAACGTCAGGGATATCAAAGTCTCCAGGTCTTCTTCTTCTCTTTTTGGCTGCGCTCCTCTGGGGTCGCCAAAGCAGATAACCTCCCTCCATCTCACCCCATCCCTCACCCAACCCTCAGCATCTGTGAACCTCCTCTTCCTCCTTTCCCTCTTCCGCACACATCCAAACATCTCAGCCTTCCCTCTCTAATTTTGCCTCCAAACTGCTCACCCTAAGCGCTCCATCTCATGTACTCGTTTCTAAACTCGCGTCCAGTTGGGAAGCCAATTGTTTGCCGTGTCTCCAGGCACAGTGTCAGGAGCGTGGTGTAGACCCAGCAGCAGGGATGGTATCTGCTTATTAATGCGAGGCGGATCAGGAGGAGTACTGCCAGAGTCAGAGGCATGTCTCTGATTGAGATATCAGATACTCTGTGAGGGTCACATGAGGGCATTTTAGTGGGACTTGTGCTCACAGCCTGGCTGGCATTTTCCAGAGAACACCAGAACTGGCAGGTCCACCACTGATGCTCTCTTCTCTTCTCACAGACGAGAGCAGGTTCACAGAGTCTGGAGACACCGTGACGAACGTTATGCTGCCTGTAACATCATCCAGCATGACCAGCCTGGCAGTGAGTCAGTGATGGTCTGGGGAGGCGTATCCTTGGAGGGTCACGCAGGCCTCCACGTGCTAGCCAACAGCACCCTGACTTCTGTTACATGCCAGGTTCTCAGACCTCCTGTTTGTGCAGGGCAATCCCTGGCTTCATGTACCCGGAGTGTGCAGGCAGTTCCTGGATGATGGAGGCGCTGATGCCTTTGTCTCACATTCTCCAGACCTGGATCCAACTGAGACCCTCTAGGATGTTATGAATCTATGTTCTGGAGTAACACCATGACAGAGGACCACAAAGTAGCACATGCAACACCGTAAAGACGCAGTAAAGTTTGTTTTTATGAGATCATTACACATGTATACACAAACGAAGGCTCTGTGACAATTTTGCAGTCGATCCGCAGCCAAATGATCAAGAGTCAAAATCAGGCGTTAGGTTAAAGTTTTACTGCTGCTCAGAACGACCGTTATGTCAGCTGATGATGACACAGGAAAGGCCTTTATTTTCAGAGAGTTCAGCACCTGTGGACGTTTAAATCTCAAGCACCGAAAAGAAATTCATTTATGATTCATTTATGAGTAGAAGCTCTTACATGTCAGAAAAACCCACAAATCTGAATTTCTCTCTGTGCACTCCAACAGCACTTTTACCTCCTCTGAGCCCCTCACTGCTCTGTGCCAAAGCTCGATTTTCCAGCTGACCTGGTTGAGGAAGTCCAAATTTGTTCAAAGTGATCATTCAGCTGGACTGATTTTAGCTCTTTGTAGATGCACCTGAACCCCATCCAAAGCAGGTGGAAGCTACAGGTCAGTGTGCTGCTCCAGTCCACTGGTTGCTTTTTCTATTTAAATTTCTGTTTAAATAGAATCATCGTGATGTACAAGCTCGTTTCTGAGCCGAGCACAACACAGACATAAGTCACGTGTTGATTTGCACTTCATCCACGATTACAGCTGTTTGGCCAAAGCCTCTGAGCACAGGACAGAGTCTCCGTAGTCTGCTGTCCCAGCTGCTCCCGGTCCCTGAACACAACATGAAAACAGCGAAACTTCACTAAAACTCACCAGAAACCTCGTGGAGCTCGTGCCCTGATCAATAGCAGCAACCAGCGGGTCCATTTTTATTTTCTTCTTCTTTAAAACGAGTGTTAAACACAGCCGGTGAATCTCCGCTTTAATCTAACACGACTCCTCGGTGAGGTGGAGAAGGACAGACGCCCGGTGCGCACGGTGCACACTGACACAGACCTCCTCCTCTGCGATCACCGGAACCGGCCCGCAGCGAGCGCAGTCTCCGATTGGCTGCTCGCTCAGAAGGCGTTGGTCACACTCCGACCAATCGGCTGTGAGGGTCAAGTTCACCCAAAACAAAAAACAACAAAAAAAAAAACAAAAAAAAAAAAACGAAGACACATAAAACCAAAAGTAACTAAAAATAATAGATAACGGAATTTTAAAACATCTGGATCTTATTCAAAAATGCAAAAAACCCACATTAAAAAACAAAAAATTAATATCAAATATCATTTAAAAAAAGTTCTACATAACAGAAACATCTTTAAACATCTCCAAATAATAATAATAAAAACAATAAAGTAAATATTTAAAAAATAATAATTTGGGGCATATAACCTTCACAGTTGAACCCTCAGACATGGCCTTCATGTGGGCCATCACACTTTGCCAGAGCCTGGTCACCTTTAGTTTTTAGGGGATCACCTGGAGGCAGAGGATGGGGTTTGATTTGATGTGTAATCTGCTGTGGAGCATATTCACAGAGACCTTCAAAGACTGTGTAAAAATGACCTCAGCTCGTGCAGCTGGGCTGGAACACTTGTTGTCCTTCCGTCAGATCACTTGGAAGTCGAGCAGCTGCAGTTTGAAACACCAAAAACATGGAACTGGATGGTTTGGAGTCTTCTCTCACCCCCGTTCTCTGCGACCTGCTGGAGCAGGGGGGCTAGGAGGAGGAGTTGGCCGTCCGACTGCGGTCTGGAGTGTGGAGCCTTCCTGCTGCTGCGGAGTCGGGGCGGTCTGCCTCCCCCCACCGCAGGGAAAAGGGAAACACCACCTGGGTCTGGGTGCAGTTCCCCCCTCCAGGGGCGGGGGCACCTAGACCCGGTTTGTAGAGTACGCTTGGGGAGTGTGATCGTGTGTACAACGTCTCTTTATGTCTGTCTCCACGTTGGTTGAGTGTGGAGTAAGTGCATATGAGAGCATGAGGGTGGGAATGGATGTTTGTATCTGTGTGTGCCTGTATGTCTGTGTCTATATGTCAGGTTGGGTGTCAGGCGCCACCTCTCTGGGGACATCTCAGGCCCTCCAAGGTTTGGAGGCCTATCTCCCCCTACCACCACTTCCCCTGCCAGTGGCGGACCCCCTCAGACATCGGTGCGTTGGTGGTTCTTTGTGTCCGGGGATGGGCAGTCCAGGTACACACCGGCTCACTCCTTGGCGGCCGCTTATCGGGGCCTGGAGCCTGGGGCTCGCTCGGGCCACTTCGGAGGTGGGGTGCCCCCGCCGCTGGCGTCATCAGGCGCAGCTGGCTGCCGGCGGAGCTCACGGGCTCGTCACTGCAACTCCCCCTGGCTTCTGCTCCGCGGCTGCTGAGTGAGCCCTCATCTGGGACTCTCCTCAGCTCTTTCCGGGACAGTGGCGCAGCTGCCCCTCTGTTGGTCTTCCTTGGTCTCTTGTGTTCTGGGGGCCTCTGGATGTCTGGAGTTTTGATCTCCTCCACACCTGCTTCACTGCCCTGGAGGACGGGGCTGTGGCCCCCCCACACCCTCTAGCAGATATTACATGAAGGAACCTTTTAAAAAAAAAACAAAAACAAGCGCGTCCATGCTCACAGGTGTACACACGGGTGATCACACCCACAAACTACACCCTTTTTGGCTCCTACCTCAAAGCACACTGTGTTCTGTTGATCTTATGTGCTGCACAATAATGTTTAATATTTAGTATTTACTGTCATATTCACCATATTATCATTGTGATGTTGTTTATTCTATTACTCTTGTTCTCTTCTGCTTGCTTTCTTTTTTCTTTCTCAGCAGGTGATCCAGGTGATTGATATATGCATTTTTTTCCTCTGCCCGTTTTGTTGGTTTTTGTCTTTTGCCCTTCTCCCCCGTCCCTCTTCTCAGCTGTTTCTCTTTCCCTCTTTCTTTCTCCCCTTCTTTCCCCCAGTCAAGTCTGTCCCGTATTCAGTAAGTGAAAATAAAATAAACAATAAAAGGTGAATCAAATGGACCATTACGGCAAGGCTGGGATGGTCAATTTGGTAAAGTAAAATCCGTTGGGTATCTTTCTTTGCCTTTAGACAACAATTCTGATGGCAAAAGAGCCAAACGGGACAGGCCAAAAAAAAAAAAAAAAAGGGAACTGGATGGCCCGAGATTATACGGGGAAGTCCATAGAGTCAACGGATAACTGTCTTTATATTTCTGATTAGCATTTATTGCTCATTCATTCTGAGATTGGGTTTCATGAACTTTATAACCATGCAGTCAGGGTCATGTGTATTTGCCACTGTGGGGCCCACTACCTCTGTACAACCACACAGTGGATTTTAAACCAGACAGTGTGGACTGAAGTGCACACACAAGCGCTAATTCTCAGACGTTTAGAAGTCACTGGATAACTGTCTGAAGTAGCTCCACAGCCATGCTTTGAATCTTTATGCAGATCAAAGATTCAAAGCTGATTCCAAGTTTTTAAAGCGTTAATCTTTCCGGATTTTATTTGTGTGCACAAATACAAGTCCTCTAAATACTAAATATTTGATTTTTTAGGGTTCTTAGGAGTTTTAATCTTATTCAAGTGGGTTTTGTAAATGGATCATCTCTCAATCTGAGTCCTTCGCTGTCAGCAGCTGTTGCAGCAGCTCTGGGTGACGACGTTTGCCTGCCCTTCTCTTCTTTCACTCAGAGTTTTCCTCTGATTATGAGAAGCCTATAAAAAGAACAGATCTGTATTTGGCTCTGAGCTGTGATGGGATTGCTACCAGCAAACTTTAATAGCTGATTCTGTCATTGAAAAAACAATAAAGAACAGTCTTAAAGTGATGTCAATACCTCTAAAACAAGTAAACAATCAACATTTTAGAGAAGGTTTATTGTGTAAAGGTAAAAATATATCACACTGCTGGGTAATTCATTCTGAAAGTGCACCAAACTGAATATACATTAAAAGCAGATGAGAAGGAAGCCTCTAACAAAGATACCGGTGGCTAAGAGTTGAACTTCCTGTTGGAGACAAAGCTGTGATTCCCTCTGACTGAACTTCTGGTCCCAGCTGATCTTTCTGAGCTCTGCAGTATGGTGCCACCTAGTGTCCAGTAATGCATCCTGCACCTGCTGATAATCAGGCATTTGTTTCATTCAAAGTCTCTGTTAAACAACAGCAAAACAAGAGAACCAAACTAAAACTTTGATGTTTTATGGTGTTCTTATTCCAACATGATGACATCAGCCTGTTATAGTAACATTGCAACCACCTACGACTCGAAATATTATTTGATATGGTTTCTTTACCAGCCCATCAGTGTCCCTGATAAGGATAAGCAGATAAGATAATGTATGGTTGGATCATTTGTTGACTTTTTTTTTTCAAGGTCAACTTTGATCTTGAGCGCTAGCAATGATGGTCAAGGTCAAATGTTTAGCTAACCTGGATATTAACATTTCTGATTGGCTAACACAGTTTTGTGGTTAGGGTCATGTCACTTGCTTGATTGGTTGGTTTGGCATTAAATTATCGTCTTTCAGTTTTCAAGTCTTTAGCACTTTTTAACCCATTTTTTTTTTACAGATAGAACAATGACAACAATACACAGTACAGCAAACTCCCTGTGTGTGTTTTATTAACTGCAAACTAGACCAAGAACAACTCAGAGCACACACACCTACACACACACACACACACACAAACAAACAACAGCGGCAGTCATTACAACATAGTGTTTTCATGGGTACTTCAGCACCAGAGTAACAACGCAGTGTTATGATCCTTTGCAAATAATGTTTCTTTCATAAAATACATTCTGTGAGAAACAGATTTATTTTAAAATAGACTTCTGTTGAATGTGATGTTATTCTATTCTAGTTACATCAACGCTGCATGCAGAGAAACTACATCACAGGACGTTTAGTCCACCAAATAATCAATATGACAGTGAACTGATATGAAATCATTCATGTTAACTGTGACTCTGGTTCCGAGGTGTCTGGCCCGGCGTCCGTCTGGCTGTCTTGTCGGCCTCCCGCTGCCTCCTTGCTCTTGGCTGCGTTCTCGCTCTGAGCCCGGTTCTGCTGCTCCGTCTCCAGAGCTTTCTCCATCTTTGTGTAGTAGTCGAGAGCTTTCCGGACGGGATCAATAATGTGTTGCTGCAGAATTATTGCAAAAAAAGTTTAAACTGATTACAATTTACCAAAAAACATGGGTTGAATTTAACCATTTATGAGTTCCTTACTGTAGAAAATGGCCGGCTGTACTTTAACACTTGCTGAGGACGGGTTTCTGTAAAGTAATTTCCTGTTTTATTTTGTAAATTTTACCCTGTTTACACTGTTCACCGTTCACTGTTTACCTGTGCTGCCTTTCACACCAATTAGGGTTTTTTTTTTGTTTATTTTAGTGTTTTCTTTTCATCTGAGCCACTTATTTAAGATGTTTTGGACACCTTCCTGTGAAAGTCTTCATTAAATTTTGCAAAGATGCTTTCAAAGAAGTACATACAGTACATTTTCTCCATACTTTTGATTTTAATACCTCCAGGCAGGGGAAGAGGTTGGCCAGCTCGATGAAAAGAGGCAGAAGAACAAATCTGATGAAGCCTGTTTGAGATGAAGGTTTGGTAACTTTATCCCGGTCCATAAAGGGGGTAACGGGAAGGCCCTCCAACTTCTCCACATCACTCTGACAGAACGACAGGAGACAGATTTGACCCACTTAACTTAGTTTACTTCTATTGCTTTATAAGGGGTGTTCAGCTGTGTGGCACACCCTCATTACTGTAAGGCCACGGTGGATTTAACATTTGAATTTAAAAGGTAATATATTTTAGTTTCTGTAGCTTTAAAAAGTGAAGTTACTCTGCATTTGTTATAATGAACTGCACCAACAAGGTCACACAACTTGATAACAGACTGTGTCTATAAAGAACCTCACAGTTTGTCTCTGCCCTTCAAAAATCAGCTGGACCGTCCCTGAATCTCATCGTAGAGCCAAAACATTTAGAGTTCAGGTCACTGTGCTCCAAAACATCCCTCTTTAAGTTACAGATATCTCATCAAAAACAGCATCATATCATATTGTCACTTTGAAATGTCTTGACAAAGTTCAGCAGGAGTCGGTACCTGGTTGAAGAATTCCTGTAAAAGACAATCCAGCCAGGGCTCAGCCACCTCCATGGGCCGGGCCTCGTTGGATATGTCGCTCACTTTGATCAGGATCGTCATTAGCTGCACAAACAACAACAGTAAATAGATGTATAGATGCTTCCAAATTTCCACGATGCTCTGTAGTCTTACTACGTCTCTGTGGTCCTTGTTGGTGAAGTCAAACACTGGAAGGATGGACTTGAACTTGTTGAGAACCTCATTGTGCCTCGACATGTCGGTGGCCAGAATGCATCTGAAACAATCAGTGCTCATTATAAATTCTGTGCTAAGATATCATGATGAACAAGAGCACTCAGAGATCACAACTTCCCCACAGAAGGCAAAGGCTACACTAACACATTGATGGGGTTTTTTTTTTGTGTTTTTATTATAAAATACTGATGTCATCTTATGACATCATTGTGACATTGTAGGGTGTTGTATTGAAAAAATAAAAAGTGTTTTGCACTGCTCTCTGCGTGCCCTTTCTTATGATATATTACTCAATATGGACGTAACAATGAAGGTTAAGGTTAAATGCTTAGCCAAACTAGGTACACATGTCCCTCAAGGTCTAGCATTTTTACACAAAATTAAATCACCTTTAGCTGATTATTGGTTTCTACCGCCACACAGAATTTGAACATGATATCTTGAAAATTGTGGATGCTAGACTGCTAACAAACAGACAGACAGGCAGACATATTCCCTCCTTTTGGGGGGAGAAAAATTAAAAACATGACTATTGGAAGATGATCTCACTTGATGATCCCCTCTCGTATCCGTTTGTACTGATCCGTGGACAGATTCCTGAAGATGTTGCTCTCTGTCTATGAAACAAAGACTCTCGGGTCACTGTGGATTCATCCATGCATGTACGCAGGTTAATGGAGGGTTTTCATTCTTACCCTCTCCAGTATCTCGAAAGCTACAGCACAGTGGTGGTTCTCCAGAGGAGAGATGTCATTGTAGCGCAGAGCGAGTTCAGTCTGAGCGTTTATCTGAAGGACAGTCAGACATGAGATTTTTACCAAAGTTCAAGCCTCAACCTTATTTTGGAAAACTGGAAATTTCAGATGAATAAAACATCACAGAGTGTTGTAACATCATCTGCACTGAAGTCCCAGCAAAACCTGTGTTGGCTGTTCTTCTACAGTGCAAAAGGTGGTAGTTTCGAAATAACTGGTATAAAAGATTTTAAGCGATGAAACTACACAGAATTACATGGACTGGTTCTCAAAGAGTCTCAAAGAGACTTTTCCCTAATCTTAAAGGAGTTTCATTATTATATGAAAGCAGTAAGTGCCATCCATTACATGCAGAAAATTGTTGCCATATCACAGTTTTACATCATCTAGTGAGAAAATGTGTACAAAAATCGCACCGAGCCAAATTTTCAGGTTCAGAATCAAAATTCTGTTCTCATATTCTGATATGTAGGCCGGGAGTGCTCTAACTCCAACTGGTACAACAAACCACAATGCAGGTCTGAGTTTCAGTACTAGGGAAGCCTAAAAAGTGTGCTTTGTGTACCTGATAGGCATTGTTGTATCCCGTGTGGTCGAGGTCGTGGCAGACTGCAGAGGTCAGCATAATCAGCAGGTCAATGCTGTCCATCTTACTCCTCAGGTCAGTCAGCCAGATCAAACCATACATCTGCTCAGAGGGAAGACAAACAAAGGCAACAACACAAATGGAGAGAATGAAGAAGGATTTACCTGCATTTATTGGTATCACTTTATAATGTCCAATTTTTATTTCAAATTAAAATCGAATTATATTTACCTACAAATACTTAAAGATGGGCACACTAGAATAAGGGGGAACAAGCCCCGTTCTTAGAGGTAACAAGCAAATAATTATACCGTAAGTAAATTTGAAAACTGTGTAATTTCATGATAATTTTGTAGAAATGCCAGGGTGCTAGATAGGAGAGTTCATCCGTTAGTCGAATTTCAGACAAAGGAGGAACAATGTGATTTTCGTCCTGGTCGTGGAAGACTGGACCACCTCTTTATTCTCTCAAGGATACTTGAGGGTGCATAGGAGTTTGCCCAACCAGTCTACATGTGTCCTGTAGGAGGTGCTTTGTGAGTATGGGGTGTTTGGCGTATTGCTTCGGGCCATTCGATCCTTATACAACCATTGCAAGAGCTTGGTCCACATAGCTGGCAATAAGTCGGACTCATTCCCAGTGGGTGATGGACTCCGGCACAGCTGCCCTTTGTCACCGATTCTGTTCATAATTTTTATGGACAGAATTTCTAGGTGTAGCCAAGTGGCGGAAGTCTTTCACTTGGGTGGTCTCAGAATCCCATCTCTGCTTTTCGCGGATGATGTGGTTCTGTTGGCTTCAACGGGTGATGGTTCGCACTGGAAAAATTCACAGCTGAGTGTGAAGCAGGGGGAATGAGAATCAGCACCTCCAAATCTCACCTGGAAAATGGTGGAGTGCCAACTCCGAGTTCCTTCCCCAAGTGGAGGAGTTTAAGTATCTCAGGGTCTTGTTCACGAGTGATGGCAGAAGGTAGTGGGAGATCGACCTTCGGATTGGTGCTACAGCTGAAGTGATGCGGACGCTGTACCGGTCCGTTGTGGTAAAGAGAGAGCTGAGTGTAAAAGCGAAGCTCTTGATTTATCGGTCAATCTAAGTCCCTATCCTCATCTATGGTCACAAGCTGTCCGTAGTGACTGACAGATTGAGATAGCAGATACAAGTGTTGGAAATGGGTTTCCTCCGAAGGTTCGCTGGCCTCTCCCTTAGAGATAGGGTGGGAAGTTCAGCCATCCGGGAGGGGCAGAGTAGAGCCGCTGCTCCTCCACATTGGGTGTTGGACTTCCTCACTGGCAGAACTCAGGTGGTGAGGGTGGGCAGGTGCTTCTCCAACAGCATCACCATCAACACAGGAGCACCTCAGGGATGTGTCCTCTCGCCACTGCTCTACTCCCTCTACACTTCAGACTGTGTGGCCACCCATGGCTCCAACACCATT